GTCTGGTCTCGCGAGGGGGGGCTCGTGCTGGGCGAAGCTTTACCAATTGGCCAGGATGCTGCCGCGAGCTTGTGTCTCGAGGAGTTCTTAAGCTGTGTGTTCCCCCCGTGTTTTGGTCTCGGGTTCGTGTTGTTTATCCAAGATTAACTCTGTCTAGTCGATCATCAAAATGAAGCTGCAGTCTCTTGTCACCCTCGCCCTCTCGGGCTACGCTACCGCCCAGAGCCGTGTCAATCTCACTGCTGCTCTTGCCTCTGAGAACTCTACCCTCTCTGAGCTCAGCGGTATGTTGTTATTGTATCTCATCTGTCGATGCAAGCTGACCGTGTAGGCCTTCTTGGTGCCCAGCCCAGTCTTCTCAGAGACCTTGGCCGTCTCAGGAATGTCACCATCTTGGCCCCAAGCAACGATGCCATCAAGGAGCTCCTCAATGACACCGCTGTCGCCCGCATGGTCGCGAATGACCCCAGCTCCATCGCTGCTATCCTCCAGTACCACGTTCTCAACGGCACCTACTATGCCAGCAACATCAGCGACACTGCCGCTTTTGTCCCCACGCTCCTCAACAACGCGACATATGCCAATGTCACCGGTGGACAGCGTGTCGAGGCCATGGCCATGGGCGACACCGTCAGCTTCTACAGTGGTTTCCGCCAACAGTCCAACGTCACCAAGGCTGTAAGTCATCCAATTGATCAATCATACCACTCACTAACACGCTCAGGACCTCAACTTCACTGGTGGTGTCATTCACATCATCAACAAGGTCCTTGCCGTTCCCAAGAACCTTTCTGACACGGCCATTGCCGCCAATCTCTCCGCCGTTGCTGGCGCTCTCATGGAGTCAAAGCTCGTCACAAACCTCACCAATGAGAAGAATGTCACTATCTTTGCTCCTAGCAACAGCGCCTTTGCCAACATTGGTTCTGTCCTCTCCAACTTGAGCGAGTCTGATCTTGAGAGCATTCTCAAGTACCACGTTGTCAACAACACTCTTGGCTACAGCTCCACCCTCAAGAACGGTTCCCTCACCACTTCTGAGGGTGAGAAGCTTAACATTGTCATCCACAACGGCACCGTCTTTGTCAACGAGGCCAAGGTCATTGTCCCTGATGTCCTCATCGCCAACGGTGTCGTTCATGTCATTGATGCGTAAGTCATTCCATCCGCTTTCACAAACCCAACTAACATCTTCAGTGTCCTCAACCCCGACAAGCCTTCTGCCACTGCCAACCCCACCGCCAGCACCCAGGAGGCCGCTTTCTCCGGCGCCAGCTCCGTCAGCGACATCCCCTTCACATCGGGAGTTCCCGAGAACACAAACACTGCTGCGGCCACTGGCCTGTCGCCTTCGACCTCCACTGAAGGCGCTGCCCAGGCCACTGCTGCCATTGCGCTCGGTGCCCTTTTCGGTGGTGCTGCCCTTGTCATGAACTTCTAAGCTTGGTCGGATTAATGGTTAATGGTTATGTAAATGGTATGGATTAATGGACGATAGTAATGAGGGATTGAATACATGATTTGACCCACGGCTTGTGCCTTGCAGTGAAAGTTTAATCGTCGATGCTTCCGAAGCCACGGCACATGCCACAAGCATGACTCGTTAAACCTCAGTAGCAGGCCCTTCGCCGTAGATAGGATCTTTCCGAAACCACTCGACGTTCTTAATAGCTTTCACCTTGCCCTCCTCGCCCTTCTTCCCATAGCACATGTCCCAATCGTAACCCTTTGGATAACTCCCCACCATCTCAAACCCGCCGTCCAGATCCTCCAACAGCCGATGCCCCACTCCCGCGGGCACAATAACAACATCGCCCGTTTCCACCACCGGCTCAACCCTCCCCTCATTGTCCTCGCCACCAAAGCATAAGCGGGCTCTGCCGTGGCTTATGCAGAGGACCTCGTGGGTTGTACTGTGGAAGTGTGTTTGGGAGTACATGGTGTAGCGCCACTGTGGTGTTACCACGTTGATTGAGGTTAGGTGCGCTTCGATGTTTGATGCGGTTATGGGGGGCTTGAAGGCGGCGTGGTAGTGAAGAAGGGGTTTTTGGTGGATGCTGCAATTGGGGATTAGGTTGTGAGATGGGATGAGATGCTTGGAGGCGCGAAGAGATGAGCGCGGTGTTAGAGACATTGTTACTGGTTCAACTGTAGTGTATTGAAGGTGTGTACTGGGCAATGCTGTGATGTTATTGAGCTGTTGATGTATGAAGCAACGATTCCACCTGACGTCACTATTCCATCTTTAGGGTAGGTCGATGAAGCAATCACCATCACATATTGACAAGCTCTCCAGCGTCTCAACTCACCCACACACAGTACACTCGATTATCGATCGATAACAGAACTCAATAATAAAATACGATACCTACCCGGGACCAAGCATTGGCGCTTCCCCACGATCGGGACCCACGTGGCGGCCCGGGGAGGCTTCCGGTATCGATCCGGCCAAGTCCGCTTTGTCCGGCTGGGCATAATCAACCTTGACGATACCTGTAGGCAATATTATAATTCCATGCTCACCGGAACTCATATATAACTAAGACGTCTCTATGGATAGTTTACGAGCCGCCTCTAAAGCAGGGGCCATGCCCCGAGCCTGACCAGAAGAATGGTATGGTGTCATTTCTTTCGTAAAGCAGTGGAATTTCCAGAAAAGCCACCATGATAGTTTGTAAAGAGAAACTATTCGTAACTTATGCCATTTCATGGAGCGCAAGATGCGATCGTAACGGATTCAATTCACGAACTCATAAAATACTACCTAGACAGCTCAAGAAACATGAGAGTCCCATAAGCCTGAAAATTCTTGAAAGAAGAGACAGGCCAGAAACCAAGTAATGAGGTCAGAAAAACGTTGCGGGTCGCTTGTCAAGAACGAAGCCCCAATATCCGCTATGTACGGGCAGTCCCCCTAGAGCGGAATCAGCATCGAAGTTATCTGAGAGGATGTGTTGAGGCCCTTGACATCTGTCAAAAGCTTGGACGAAAGCTATGAGCTCCCGACAGGATACTCGAGATTAGGCTGTATGTAATTAAGCTTAACGCAATGGAGGACAGTGCATAGTCTATGAGATTGGCTGGAATACGGTCATTAGGAACAGGGTGAGCTGGATGATAGCGGACTATCCCCCGGGTATCAATTCACTAGATTGACTATACGACGAATCGGAAAGCAGATTTGAAATATCCGCCTGGGTTTATCAATAAGTCCCTGTAAAGCTCGCAGATTCCCCGGCGACTATCGCTCGATTCTTGACGATGTCAAAGTCGAGCTTGGATCCTGTTATCCGGTACAGGAGGCATTAATCGCCTTCATGACTCAATCACTGGAACAGGTAACCTTATCGCTGCATTGAAACAACATAGTCATGTGCTGCATTGCGTCAATCCTCAATGCAACCAAACAACATCCAGACTTGCTAGATCTACTATCCGCGACGATATGCTTCTTACCCACCCGGACAAGATACTTCAGAAAGGAACAATCTGCGTATTTTCGAGGCCAAAGCTTTTCGGCAGGTCATTGAGCGTAGCTTTGAAGGTGGAATAACAGCGAACGCTCTGCGCAATGTGTCAACGCCACGCGAGATGCTTACCAGATCTGCTTCATGGCCACTGACAGACGCAGGGGTTTTGACCACATGGAACACCTGCAAGCAATCTAGAACACGTTGTCAAACAATCAGGGGTGAACAGTGCATCAGTCGAGGTTGCATTTCTAGCGATGGCAAGGGTGATATGCAAGTAACCCATGCCGATGGAGGCCTACAAAACATTAAAGCCAACAAACCACGGGCGAAGTAACATAATTATAGTCAAATGATAACTACTCAAGTGGAGAAGGGATTAATCATTGCCAAGTCAACTACTCCATCGATGACAGAACTCTTTCTGCCAGATTCGTTAGTGACCGTTGATGTAACAGCCCTAGGATCATGACTACCTAGCTACAAGGCTAGTGGTCTGGACAGGTCTTAGCTTCTATTTTCGATAGCTTCACCGAGGCGAGGATGGAAATGGATCACCTCCGCAAAACGCTACAATAGTACGAGAAACCTTGTTTCCCGAGAGCGAACCTATTCTGTTCAATCGTCCGAAGCTATTAAATTACATGTGAGAATAGACGGCGCTCGGGGCAATGTAATGTTTACTTGCTTCTCATGATAAGCTTTTGGAAATTTCCCTCGTCTTCGGTTGAATTGCCGCGTTGAGCTGAAACCTGGGGTAGGATCGGACCAAGCTAACCCGAGTTTTACCAGGCAGATTTGAGTTCTGATGAGGCACAAAAATTCAGGAATAAAGGGGGCGTCGTTTTGGTTACGGAACGATTCCGTGGCAGAAATCATGCATTTGGCTGACTCGAAGTCAAGAGTTGGTTATGCTGATCATTTCCATTCTCACATTTAGAACGAAATCTCGAGATGATCTTCGCCTACAGCCCAGCCAATCCTTGGCGCGACAGGGATCGGGCCGTTGGCACATGCCAAGCTGATTGACTAAAATCCAAGAGCCAAGGATCCTTTGCTCTAGACTAGAGACGACCTTCCAGAATTGGGGACCTCTTCCACGACTTGAAACTCCGGTCTCTTTCTGACCACGAAAAGGAGGCTACCGAAGCCGGCAGTCCCATGCCGATTAGTGATGTACCTGATATTTCAGCCCAAACTAAATTATGTACCAAGCCCAGTGACAATCCAAGTTACGAGATGCCCCAAACAAACCTGAGCCTGCGCCAATTAATACACTAAAGTTATTAGCCCCTACAGGGGACCGATGTGACGCTGTATCTGGAAGAATCCGGATCATCCATGTTTTAACTCCCTTCCAAATTGACGGGACGAACGCAGTGGGGTTGCGCTGATCCCTTGAGACGATGACTGTAAGGCCCAGGTTTAAGAGAGAGAACCCCTACTTCTGCCCCGAAGTCAAATCTGTTAAATATCCCTTGGGGTCCGCACACGCGGGTCGTCCTCCTTGTAAAACGCTTGTCGATCAATATGAAGTGGATTGTGCCTTTTCTGGTGGTCTTTGTGCCCCTGGTAGCGGCAGCGGATGCAACAAAAGAGTTGTTGACCAATCTGCCTGCCTGTGCAGTGAGTTTATCCATCAATTGGTCGGTGTGTGCTAACATTGCAGGCTCCTTGTTATGAAGATGCCATCAAAAAGTCGGACTGTAACTCGACCGATGTGAAATGCGTGTGCTCGACCCAAGTCATCATCCAGACTGCAGAGGCATGCGCTGCCCAAGCATGTCACGTCAGAGATAGTCTGAGTACGTCGACCCTTCTCTACCATCGCATCTCTCTAACATGAACAGCAACGCTCAACATGACATACACCTACTGCGAAGTCCCCGTGCGAAACAAGACCCCCATCTTCATCAACGTCACAATCGTCCTCGGCGTGATATCCGGCGTCGCGACCGCCCTGCGTCTCTGGTCCAAATTCTTCTTCACCAAGACCGAACTCGGCCTCGACGATCTCTTCATCGTGCTCACGCTCTTCATCGGCATGCCCTCCACAGCCATGAACATCCACGGAACCGCCGGGCACGGAGAAGGCCGCGATATCTGGACGCTAGAGTTTGACGACATAACAAAGTTTGGGTTTTACTTTTGGTTGCTCGAGGTATTCTACTTTGCGCAGGTTTCGCTGCTCAAGACGTCGTTGTTGTTCTTTTACCTGAGGATCTTTCCGGGGAATGCGCAAAAGTTACTCTGGGGGACTATTATTTTCAATAGTGTTTTTGGTGTCTTGTTTATGTTTTTGGCGGCGTTTCAGTGTACGCCTGTGAGCTACTTTTGGTTGAATTGGGATGGAGAGCACAAGGGAACATGGTATGTTGATAATTGTGATTGTCGGACTTGGCTAACAGTATCAGCATGAACTCAACTGCCATCGGCTGGGCCAATGCATCTATCAGTGTCGCTGTGGATGTATGGATGCTTGCAGTTCCAATGTGGTATCTCCGAAAACTCAAACTGCATTGGAAAAAGAAGATTGGTGTCGCTGCCATGTTTATCGTCGGAACTTTGTAAGTCATCCGCCAATTTCAACGAGCCCAGCTAACTTTTCAGTGTCACCGTCGTGAGCATCATTCGTCTGCAATTCCTCGTCGATCTCGGCTCATCTCACAACCCGACATATGACCAAACTGACATCTCCATCTGGTCAACAGTTGAAATCAACGTCGGTATCATCTGCGCATCCATGCCGGCTCTTCGAGTCATTCTCGTGCGTCTGTTCCCCTCTCTTGGAGGCTCATCCTACGATTCGAGCAAGTACAACAACTACGGAGAACATTACGGACGGAAATCACATATTATGAGTCGAAGTCGTGCTCGCGTGGAGTTGCCATCTCATACGGGTGACTCTATACATACGCCTGAGCATGGAGGTATTGAGTTGCAGAGGACGTTTCATGTGCAGTACAGTGAGAATGACGAGCAGAGTCTTGTTAATGGGGAGAGTAAGTTTAACAAGACGCAAGTTACGACTCAGATGAGATCCGAAAGTCCGAGCGATAGGTCTTTGTAGTACGATAGTTGATTGATACCTTTATAGCAAACTAATGAATACATTCTTAACATACTGTACATGTCATCTGATCTGACTTCTTGAAGAGCCTAGACCAAACACGTCATAGGGTCAATGCACACGATCAATCAAATGTACTGAAATGGCGTCTTTGTTGGTTGAGTCACAGCGATCTGAGGGTAACTTATCAGCTCAACCCATTTTGGCGATAGACTTTATCGTGCTTCACAAAGATGGTCATAGAAATGAAATCTACAGTTATGCGGATATTATTTGAGGAGAAGTTTGAAGCCCATTCCCTCAAACTCCTCGAATTTCATTCAACGGTAGCCCTGGTGATGTTAACGCACAAACGGCACTTCTGCGACTAGTTCGACGCCACTTTGCATTGTCTTGAGAATAATATCAGAATCAACCAAATTATGAGTGTAAACGAGCTATTGTTCTTTGTACAGCCAATCAAGATGCATAAATCCCTGTTGCTTTCTGGTCAGTTCAGCTCATGCTTGCAACGCATCGTATCTAAAGGGCACACTTTCACTTTTGTTTCCATCGAGGACAAGTCTGAAAGTAAACCAAACAACAAAAAACATTCAAAAAGTCAAAGGCAACATGGGCAGCTCTTGTATTGAGGGAGCGGCCATCACCATTCCGCCATTATCACAAATTTCACAGATCGACCATGACTGCAATGTGTTTCGGCAGTTTGAAACTCGCAGAGAATCCGCAAATGGCCACTTGAGGAAATATTTCGAGTATGTCGGACATGAAAAGATCCAAAAGGATCTTCCTGGACTTTACGCTAGACCCCTCAAGTCCCGGGGCTCAGAAGCAGATCAGAATGCACGACTCTCGCAAACTAACGCTATACATGATCTTGTGAAGCTCGACGACATTCTTGGACGGATCAAACAAGAGGAGCGGCCTTACATCAAGGCTGTATCTCCACTCGTCGTTGCATGGTATGTATCTTAGCCCTGTTAGGTTCATCGCTTACAAGTGTAGGACGGCATTTTGCCTCACCTTGCCATATGCCACCCCGCAAGGTGATCCATCTGTCTTTTTCAAGATTGGTGCTGTTACGGGAGCTTTCGTTATCGCTGCTCAGCTAGTTCGCAAGTTTCTGCAGTTGAGAAACATCACTCCTTTGCAGCACAAGGTGCGAGGACTGGTCCGGGCGTTCAAGAATGGAACAATACAGTACAGGGACTCGGAGGAGGTCTTGATTTCGTCGTTGAATTGGCTTCATTTAAATTCAAGGATTCGACTGTATCATTGTCATGAATGCTTCAGTTGGCCGCCGTCTCATGTGCTTAGATGTTCAGCCCTATGACCCATGCCCCTAAGATATGACAGTGCAGATGGCTTGGCAAGCATATATACTTGCTTGGCTTTCTGGCACATTTCTAAACACTGTCAACTTCCTCTTCTGGATCACTCGTAATTAAGCGACTTCCTTATTCATTCCGAAAGATCTTGTGCCGCGACCCTGCATCTGATCACGATCGATCGGATCCACTGCCAATTAGATACGCTTTAGGTAACTGGACCCGGAGTACATAGTAGGAGAGATTCAAAATCTTATTTCAAGTCTAGCTATGAAGTCCAAACTACTCCTCAGACTCGTTATCCTTGTCAAGCACATGGTTTGCCGGGCGCTCAGGTACAAGGAAAACGGCAAAGGATGTTGAAGGGAGAGAGATGCAGAACATGGCAAAGGCGACGATGAGGTTGGTGAGAGATGGGACCTTGGCAGCACCAACACCAAATGCCAAGCATGATCCAAGAGACTCGAAAGATCGGACTAAGCCGACAGCGAGAGTTAGGGTCTCCACGTCCTCGAAGAAAGTTCCGATAATCCAGTATACAAACATGTAGTGAGATTCATTCATGAATCTGATTTGTTAGCACTTGTTTTGCTAGTATAGCAGATGTAGACATACCGAAGAAGGACTTGGACAGCAAATCCACGACCGAAGCCAGGGAGGTCCCAATCGAGAGTCACAGCAGGATTGGCGTTACGATACTCCAACTCCATAGCAAATTGCCAACCAAACAGAGCAGTCATAGTAACAGCCAAGAACACCCAAGTAATCCTAGCAAGCTGAGGTCGGCTAAAATACTTGAGATCAAAGAACCAACCCCAGAAGATGTTGGCACCGGTAGCAGCAATACCCGAAGTCAACGACGCCAAAGCACGAGCTCGGACGGAAAAGTAGTTGACGAGATAAATTCCCAGGTACGTGCTGTTCCAGTTGAAACCAACGAGAATAGGAATCAAGAGGAAGAACTGCTTGCGCTTGATGAGAGCACCCCATCGTCTGCATTGTTCCTTGATACTCTTGTTGGTCTGGGTGTGAGGCAACTTGGAACCATCAGGGCGGATGACTTTGTTGGGAGGTGAGATGAGAAGGGCGAGAGGAAGACCGAGGCATTGGAGAGCGATGAGGACCAGATAAGTGGTGTATCCAACACGGCCTTTCTTTCCAGACTCGACATTGAGTGAGAGCTGAATGGAAGAGCCAATGAGTTGACCAAGCTCACGAAGGCCAAGCCAAATTCCAGCTACAAGGGTTAGCACAGTAACTTCACGATCAGCTCATACCACTTACTGAATTTTCCACGATCCTTGACATCGCCATATCCCAAAGCAATAGCACCCTCCGAAGCCCAAAGCGCAGAAGCAGCAATACCACAAGTAGCACCACCGAAGAGAACAAACCACTCAACACCATATCTGTTGTTGGTGTAGAGCGCTGCAGAATAGGGTGCGTATCCAAGGGTGCCGATAACAAGAACCCACTTCAGACCAATCTTATTGGCGAGGATACTGAAGATGGAACAACCAAAGACCATGATGCCAAAAGTGAGCGAGTTGGCGCCATTGACAAGGTATGGTTCCTGCTGACCACCGGCGCCGGTATCTACAATCGTCAGCGATGTAAAGTGAACAGATGGTAGACATACTGTTGAGGGCATTCCAGATTCCGGGTTGGGTGAAGGAGATGAGACCAACGATGATGACATTGAATAAAGGACTGCGATACCATCGTGTAAACCGAGATACGGGCTTAGACTGCTCGATGCTCTGTTCAGTGACATCCTTGACATCTTTATCGCTGCCCGATTCGATCACAGCGTTGGACGACATTTTGACACGGACTCAAAGATCTAGATCCAAAACTCAATTCAGAATATTTGCAGCCCTCACCTCTTATAAACCCCTCTCATATCGCCATTCTTTCACAAGATTTTCATCAATGGAGTATCAATTGTGGATTGAGAACAAGGTTAGTGCTCAACTCTTCCGAAACAGGCTAGAATCGCATGTTGCCCGACGATATAGTCAGTGGCCATTTCCACTTTTTGCGATTGTCCGTTCATTTCGTGCTTGACAGGGTCGATGGCGACATGATATCTGAGGTTCTCTGCCATCTGCAAGTAATATACCTTATCGATAACTGTATGCATAATCTGAATCATGATTCAGTGAAACCGTTGAAGATATACATGCATCTCCCGCTTGGCGAGTCAATATCGGAAGCTTAAATACTGACCAATCACGTATCTTTCCGACGACCTGACTCGAGTCTCAAGTCGGAAACGTCTCCGCCTCTCTAGTCCAACTCCCCCCATTCTCGCCCGTTACCCAACTTTGTTTCTCATCACCTCATCGACGCTTTCCCATCGTCGGTAACAGAACAACCTCCGACTTTTTTTTTTAAGTATCATGGCGGGGCGGAACTCTGATTCCCAGAGCCAGACATCTCCGCTCGAGTCTGGTGATTCGCCGCGTCCGAGACAAGCAGCCTGTCTCGTATGCCGCCGATCAAAGATCAAGTGCGACTGGAAACCTCACCAGGAACGATGCAGGAGATGCATACAGCTTGACTGCGAGTGCGTGCGTCCCGCTTATCATCCCGGACGGCAAAAGGGTATTAAAAAGTAAGCTTCCCCCGCATGTTGTCGTCTATAATGCTGACTTGTCAGTAAACGAACGGGGTTGGATAAGGCGCTGTATCAGATTGACCAGGCTGTCAAACGCGCGAGATCAGCGTCGCAGAAGAATCCCGAAGATGATAGGATTCTGAACCATTTGCAGGAATTGCTCAGCAATGCGAATACGCCTGAACACGCGACTACTCGTGGATACAGTGTCAGCGGTGATGGCGACGAAGATGCGTACTCGGAAGAAGAGGAGGAGCAAGACCCTGTAGCAATGCCTGATTTCATTCAGAGGACGCAACACAGTCTTGCCATCGACGATGCAGAGAATCCGCTGCAGCTTCTCGCAAGGGCATCGTATATCCAACCGTCGCCTGAGTCGCGACATGGCAATTCTCCAATACAGGCGCATACGGCTAGTACGCAGGGTCAAACGGAGGATGAAATTCAAGCATTCTTTGCGCCGGCGCAAGTCCACCTCGATGTGGGACCTGATGTCGATCCTGTCTCTCTGGGGCTTGTATCTGAGGAGGAAGCGGACAAGCTCTTCAACTTGTGAGTTTGTCACTCCGTGTTTGGCGCGTGCTAACCGCGTAGCTTTCATCGGAACCTTGCGCATACGAGATGGGGTCTTGACCCGAGGATATACACCGTTGAATTCACGCGTTCAAGATCAGCGTTTCTTTACACGTCTATTATGGCTGCCTCTGCGCTCTTCATGCCATCAGCAGCAGCTCTTTCAAAACGATTATCGAATCACTCTAGAACTCTTGCGCATAGGGTCATGGTGAATCGATACAGATCAGTTGAAATTGTTCTTGCGTTCATGGTCAATATCCCATGGATGTTTCCTGGTCAACATTCAACTGACGATGAGACTTGCACTTATATCTCGATCGCCAACACAGTTGCTACCGATTTATCACTTCACAAAAGTCTCATCTCACCGGAAATGGTCGGTTCAGGGTCTGGTATCGGTCTAGCAAGGGGTGACTGTCTCGACCCACGAGCTGCTCTCACAATGGATGGATTCCCTGAACTCGATCCATGGTCAGAAAAAGGAAGACTCTTTCTTCGAAACCGCGAACGATGCTGGCTTTCGTTGTTTGTACTTGAGCGAGGAATGTCTTTGGCCAGAGGACGACCGTTCTCAGTACCGATGACAAGATCTTTGAAAGATTGCGATAATTGGCATCGTTCTGAATATGCTGATCCTCTTGATGGTCATCTTGTTTCTATGGCGGTGCTGAGGAGGGATCTTGATGCGCTGTTTGCTACTGTTCGTGCTCTTTGCGATGGATCTCAGATGGCGTCTAGTGATGGATCGTTAATCGCGCAGTCGTACGTACGCCACCAAAATCAACGACAAAGCTAACAGTCCTAGAATTCAAGGGTCGATTGAACGATTCTTTGATCAGTGGTACACGGAATGGGGTGTATCAATCGGAAAAGGACCAGGTAAGATTTATGGCCGCCAGACAAGAAGCACGCTGACCATCAGACCGCCGACTTCCTCCTTATGTCGAGATTCTCGTCACACATACCCGATTATCTATCTACGGCGGAGTCATAAACCATCCAACAGCACCCCTCGAAGTCCGCCGTTTCTTCCACACAGCTGGTCTCTCATCCGCCCTCAACGTCATGCGAGCCGCAATCCAAGGCGAATCCCAACTCCAGTCCATGCCAAACAACACAGCCATTATGATTTCATTCGCAGCCTGCTTCGCCCTTACACTAAGCTCTTACGCAACCGGTGGATCAGCCCTAGCACCAAGCGTCCGTAACCTCATTGACGAAACAGCCACAGTTCTCGTAAGGATCGGAAAAGTCACGCGGCATCGTAATGGCCTTTCCATTAAGTATGGGAAATACCTCAAGCAGATCGTGAGAAGGGCGGCAACGGGTGATGGTATCTCAGACCCGAGAATGCCAATTGTCAATGAAGCACCTATTACGACTCCGACGTTTTTGGATCAGCAAGCGTTATGGCCAGAACCTTTGCAGTTCTCAGCAATGTCTGATGATCAGATCGTCCAGGCGTTGAATCAGCCAGGAAACGATTTTGAACCTTCATTTGGGGGCTTGTCCTGGGAGGATATGACGAATTTCGAATGGCTGTACTGGCCTGAAGTTGGTATATAAATGCTACACAAATCAACAAACAAGTTACTTGCTCAAATCAATCTTTCCAAAACCCAAGACGCGTCTCAACGCAGAGTCTGCTTCTCCGCTGCACTAATTTCAGCTAGCCAATCTATCGAAGTAAGCTGTCGAAGCTTCTCCATAAACACAAAAGTCAAAACAGTATGCGGTCTAGAAAGTCAGCTTCAGTCAACACGAGATGCGAGAAACGTACGTAAGCCTTAACCAAGCAGGTGTCCAGCCTCTCATAAGAAATCGTGGGCCTTCTTCGCGAAGACCCGTGCCTAGAACTTGTGCTAGGCCTTCTTTTCCAGCACTAGATTGCATTCTACTCTTGAGAACATCTGCGGGGGCACATAGAGTTGTCGCCATCGTTCCAGCGGCTAAAGATGAAATAGCATGTGTTTTTGTATCATCCCCAAAACCGTTGCTGACGAGGTATTGTTTGGCGGAGGCGTATCTGATTTGTTAGTCGAGCTACTCACAGAAGCAGCAAACTTACGTAGCGATCTGAGAGACATCTACAATTATCAGCAACGCTCACTTATGAAGAAGGAAACTCACTCATCAAAGTACTCCTAGCAATATTCGGAGCAATGCCCTTCCAGAACGCCCTCATCCCCTCTTCACTATAAACCCTCGCCAGCGCATCGAAGGCATGAGCATATCCGAATTGCTGCGCAGGCGCCTTTGCGCCATCTGCACACATGCGCACAAGGATAACTTCAGCTGGGTTGCCGACTAAACCAGCTACACCGCCAGCTACACCAGCGCAAGCGATGTTCTGCGCGACTGACAGCTTCTTGCCTGTGTATCCTCTCAGTTTATCCGAGAAGTAAGTGTGAAAGCCGAAACGGGCGGTTGAATAAGTTCCTTGACGGAGGATGGAAGCTGATAAGCCGTTCCAGAGCGATGGGATGCCTGTTCATTATTAATTAATGGGTGGAGGGTAGAAGTGATGGGGAGCTTACCATCTCGTGCGGCGAAGCGGTAGAGGACGTTGAGCATAGAGGCATTGCTTTTGAGGACTTGCATGCGACTATCTGGTTAGCTTGAAGATAGAAGTGGTGATTGAGAAACTTACTATTTCGTTTGATCCAGAGGATGAGCTTCACATGTTAGTCGAGCTCTCCATGGTTGAGGACAACATACTGAAGCAAACAGCCATGCAAGCTGCAGCACCACTACAAACAGTCAGCCACGCTCACACCCCTCGTAAAAAGACATACCCGAGCCAAAAAGGCTCCTTTTTCTTATCAGAGCTCATTTAATCAGTATTCTACTCCAACACATTGTGATCTACTCCTCTCAATCCCCTTCCATCTCATTGTTTTGTACACTTACACCAGCTCTCGGCATCCAAATCTAGTTCCGTCCGCTCGTCCATTTTGAACCCCGTAGAAAAAGCGGGGCCGTCACTCGGTCTCCAACTCTGACTCCCGCCCATCATCGTCATTGTTCACAAAAGCGTCAGTACATCCTCGGCAGGAGACACAATGTCAAACGAGAAACAAGCAGACATGTCCAAACTATCTACATCGCTGAAAGCGCTCATAAATGCGCCGTTTGCAAAGCCAGGGCCTCGTCCTGCGCCGACACAAGTGCAGGAGCTGTATGAGGCCATCGCAAATGATGCTGCGATCAGGAACCTCGGCCCAAAGTCGTGGTTAACAGTCTCTGTAAGTCTCGCACAATTGTCGCTCTAATTGACTATATATACTGACAATTTAGGCTGCTGCGACGTTTACACTTAATTCTCCAGACTCGTTACCCGTTCTTCATCGCGTCGCGTCCGCAAAAGATCCCAACTCCGCTGTGCAGAATGCCGAGTTCATCCGAGAAGTCGGCCTCAAGTGCATCAGCTTCAACGGCATCCCACGAACGATCAATTCCCTCAATGCATTCCACGCATCACTCCCCGAAGAAGTAACTTCCAAACTCTCCACAAAGCCAAGCCGACAACCGACATCGCAAAACATCGATGAGGCGTTGGCGCGCGGTCGTGGACTCTGGGATTCGATCTACAGGCCGTACGAAGATAAGCTCTTCGAGAAGCTGGCGCTTGCGCATCCCGATCTACCCGTTTATATCCTCAGCAGCCACTACTCTGCTCTTCTCTCCGACCCTCCTGCTTCGCAGCGCGATACGCTCGCTAGTCTTGGACGGGTTCATACCTCCATGATTGCTATTTCTTGTCTACGCGCGCAGACTGGTGTTGGGCCACAGGTTTTGTCGCATGTGTTTGGATTGAGAAAGGCGCTTGAGGATGGGACGTATAAGAATGATCATGATGGGGAGAGTGAAGAGGCTGTGCAGTATTTGGCTAGTGATGAGGGTGGACATTGGCTCTTGAATACGGTGGATAAGATTGTTGAGGCCATTGGGGGAAGCAGTTTTGCACCGGGTAGAGATTCGAAGCTGTGATAGACAAGAGACATATAATTGGATAATTGTATAATTGAGCGATTGAGTTCATGTGATGAAGCATTTGCAATGGTATAACCTCAAAATGGCTGTAGAGTTCAACGGCGAAGTAGCGCAACGTCGAGGCGCCCCCGCCACTTCAATTGGCCTGAACTATATACGAGAAAGAATATCTACATGCCTATCTAGGTCTGTCCCTGATAGAGAGCAGGACCCTTTCCATCAAAGAATGTCTCATCCAAGAGCGACAACAGCACCTTCTGACCAGCCCACTGCTCCTCAGCATTCGGCCGAATCTGCTCAGGTGGAAGAACAAAACCATTCTCACCAGTATCGCGCTGCTCAATAGTATACGAGAACTTGGCTCCTCCGACACTATAAACATGATCAGGAGCAGCGCCAGTAGTCACGTATAGAACAGCACCGCTAGGTCCAAAAGTATACGTCGTGTGGTCATCTGTGCTCTCGCGAATAGCCTCGCTGACAAGCGCAGCAGCCTTGGTCCACTTTCCAAGCTCAGGCGCGTAAAGATCCTCCTTGTATCCGAAGGGAGAGAGAATGTACTGTCCGTAGCTGTGCCAGTCGATGTACAGCGCAATACCAACGGTGTCGCGAAGCTGACGGACGAATTTATCGAGACCTTTGTTCTCTGGGGTGTCGGCCGGCTTCTCACCGCGATACACTTGGGAGCAGGGATCGGTGGAAGCACCGCGTTTATTGGAGTCCCAGCCAAATTCCCAGTTTCGGTTGATATCGCGACCGTAGCATGATTGGTTGGCTGCCGTGGCGGGAGGAGGTTGACGGTTCTTGCGCCAGAGACGATCAGCGGTGGTAGAGTAGACCTGATAATTAGTTCAATTGTCAATGTCAATGTGAGTGCAGAACTTACAAAGCCGTCGGGATTGACAAAGGGGAAGATGTAAAAGTCGTATTTGTTCAGATAAGTCTGGACATCTTCATCGCCGCTCTTGAAGCCCTTGACGAGTTGGAGGGTAATGTATTCAAGGGTCTAACGGTCAGCCACGAAAGTCAATGGGGTGACAATAAACTTACAGGACCAGAGATCCATTCACGGGCATGGACAGTTCCATGGTAAAGCACAGCAGGCTTTCCAGGACCATCATCACCCCAGAGATGAAGTCCGTAAATGTTCCTCTTCTGGTATGATTTGCCCGAGGACACCAGCTTTGAGTTGTTCGGGAACTGCGCCTGCAAGTCACGGAAGTAGTCGATGTGATCCTCATAGTTGTGAAACTCATCGAACCATGAATCATCATCTGCCTGACGCTTCCACTTCTTGCGAGACACGCTCTCGCCCGTGATTGAAGTACCGAGATTCTCATGGAGAGTGGTGTAGTCAAGCTTCAGGCTCTCAAAGGCGCTGATGTCATTGGGCGCGACGACAATGTCAACATGCTGATAGCCATGCTCCCACTCATCAAAGATCACCGGAGTGAGCTTCTCTTTGATGGCGGACTTGCCGTGGGTGTTTACACGAAAGACTTTATAGCCATCATAAGACTTGATCTCAGTCTTGGGTACAGCAAGTGCGCCCAAGGCGAGGATGAGGAGGGAAACGATTGAGTACCTCATGATTGATGCGTGTTGATTGAACTACCTGTAGACCAACACTGGCTGCTATATAGATGACCTCCTCATTCTTGGCGGCAGTAACATCGGGCAAACTTTTGAGCACCGCAGAAGATGATCAGCAAATTAAACAGGACCTTCCCCATCGGCACTGGCGGTCATCTTCGCTATAACAAGGTATCAATGGCGCAAGAAACCGTTCAACCCGCCCTGCCGATCGTCCCAAATAGACTCGTAACCTTAATCTATTCCCCGCTGCGGAGCCCAACTTTATTCCAAGCCACCAGGGTTCAATGACGAATCTGCAAAAGTTCCATTCACCATACAAAAGTCCATCCATGGATATTCATCATTACACAAAAGTGCAAGTACAGGACATCATTACACAAAAGTTCATTAATTTTTCTATGGTATCACTCCATCTGCTTCAAATCATCCACCACCGAAAAGTCCGCATCCGTCTTACTCCTAACCTCATCCACACTGACCCCCGGCGCAAGCTCTGTAAGCGTAAGAGTACCCTGCTCGCGATCTACCTCAAACACACACAGATCCGTGATGATGGTGCTTACCACACGTGCGCCTGTTAGTGGTAGTGTGCACTGCTGCTTGATCTTTGATGAGCCGTCCTTGGCACAGTGTTCGGTGGCGACGACGATCTTGGTGTTGTCGGGGTTGGCGACGAGATCCATTGCGCCGCCCATGCCTTTGAAGACTTTGCCGGGGATCATGTAGTTGGCTAAATCGCCGACGGCACTGACTTGAAGGGCCTGTGATTGTTAGGCAGTGAGATCAGAGGGGTTTGGAGAACTTACGCCGAGGATTGAGACGTCGACGTGACCGCCGCGGATCATGCCGAATGACTCGGCGGAGTCAAAGACGGATGCGCCTGGGACTAGGGTGACTGTTTCTTTACCAGCGTTGATGATATCACTAATTTGTTAGCGACGCTTCACAGAGGGATGATCAACGTACGGATCTACTTCATCCTTTGTAGGATAAGCACCCATTCCAAGAATACCGTTCTCAGACTGGATATGCACCGTCGAATCGGCAGGGAGGAAAGAAACAGCCAGCGTAGGAATACCAACACCCAAGTTGACATAGTAACCAGGCTTCAATTCCTTGGATGCCCGTCTAGCGATACGGTTTCGTCGTTCTTGCGCTTCATTCGTAGCCTTGGGTGGTCCATCAGATCCCTCCTCTCTCAACTTGAGAACCTCAATATTCTTCTCGGCGGTCGATGGGACGATTCGGTCGACAAAGATTCCGGGGAGGTCAACACCGTTGGGGTCGATTGCGCCAACTTCGACGATGTTTTCGGCTTCGACGATTGTGAGTTTCGCGGCCTTGGCCATGATGGGTCCAAATGCTTTTGTTGCGTATCTGATCTGTTAGCACGAATTGAGATGTCGATTTAGCAGACATACCGGAACACACAGTTTCCTTCCTTGTCGGCCTTCCAAGCTCGAATGATAGCGACATCGCCTTCAATCGCTGTCTCCATGAGGAACGTTCGGCCGTTGAACTCGCGTGTTTCTCGCTTTCGACCCTTTTCCACAACAGCGCCCGACTTGTCCAGTCGCACGGGGATTTCTCCATCCTGCAAAAGAGTATCTAACTTGTTAGCTTTGCTTTATCAATAGACGTGCAACGTACGAGCTGCAGTTGGTGTGAAGAACGCAGGAATGCCAGCGCCAGCAGCACGAATGCGCTCCGCTAGAGTTCCCTGGGGACAAAGCTCAATGGCCAATTCGCCCGTCAGGTACTTCTTCTCCAACACCTTGTTGTTCCCAAGATATGATAGGATCAGGCGATCGACTTGACCAGCGCTTGTGAGCGTTGCCAAACCGCCTTTGCCTTCAACGCCAGCATTGTTCGACACAGCAGTAAGCGAATGGAGAGAATCGCGACCTCTTCTGTTCAGTGCGCCAATCAATGTATCCGCGACACCACAGAGCCCAAAGCCCGAACTCAACAGTGTTGAACCACTCTTGATATCCGCGACCGCAGCGTCCGCATCTTTAAAGAGCTTCGATCCTCCCCGCACCGCCAACGCAGGCCTTGTTGTGCTGAATTGGCGCGCTGTGAAGCTGCTTCCCCATGTGAGAGGTCTCGCCCGTAGTCTAAATAGCTTCGACATGATTGCTGTGATGTTTTGTCTGGTGTAGTCATGATTGCGACTGTGATATGTTTAAAGAAGAGTATCGGGGGTAGTTGTGGTTCCGAGGCTGCGGCGATCGGGGGCAGAAGTAGGACCGGAGAGACGTCATTTTTCGGCGGGAGAACTGGCACCGATGAGCTTGAGCGGGTCGGACCTGAATCGGTATGTCCTTAAGATCGGGTTTCGGATGTGAGGAAGAGTTGGATCTGGATGAATGTGATATTCTCAGTCGATTGGAGCGCGGTGTTTGGTGTGTTGCTCGTGACTGTTTGAAGCCACCGGATCATAGTTGATCCCATACAGATGAAACAATACAGGGTACCCAGGCAGAGATTCTCAGTGAAGTCATCGCTACGCCCACTCTGGAGCTCTACAGACCTTCAGTTCGGTACTTACTCTTAGTCATAGCTCAATTAAATGCAGCATCACGGTTAATTGTGGGACATGAAGATCATCCAGTGAAGTCAATTGTTTGAACAAGCAGCAATTTGGGTATTAATCTAGTCTAAGGACGCTGACATCTCAAAGCAATTACAATTATTTGTGAATAGGCTCCCGATGGAAGCGGTTAGACTCCCAGCCATCAATCTCATCAACATGAACCTCGCGAACAAGCTTATAACCACCAATTTTGGGAAGAATGATAGCCCAGATGAGCCAGTAGAAAGCACCAGCAACCAAGATGGCGATACCTACAACGCAGTGGATGTAGTAAGGCATGCTCTTGTACTGGTTCTGGCTGGGGTCGTCGGGAGCAATAAATGGTGCGATCACCAGGTACATATTGCTAAGAAGGAAGAAGACAGTGACGGGGAGGGTTGCCTTGATCGGGGGGTTCCAGTTGTACTTGGCGCCGTGCAGGTAGAGATGCACAAGACCGCCAGCGACAAAGGTGTTGACAATCGCAAGAGGATAAGAGATGAGGCTGATTGGTTAGCGACGTTGACAAACAGAGTTAGGGCAGATACATACTTGAGGATAAAGTTGTAGGCATCTCCAGGAGGAGGAGCCAGAATGACGATCACGCAAATGACCCAGTGCTCAAAGAGACCCGCGAGAGGAGCGTTGAAAGGTCGGTTGCTAGCCCAAAGACGAGAGAAAGGCAGAATACCCTCGCGACCGAGTTCCTGAACAAGGCGACCCTGAGAGAAGATGACACTGAGGACGTTTCCGAAGGCAGAGAGAGCGACAAAGACGGACATGGCGCGCTCAGCAGCAGGGCCCATGACATTGCGGAATAGAGAAGCAGCGACAAGACGCTCAGAAGCAATGATCTCAGCCTTGGAGACGGCGGCGAAGTAGGCGATGTTGACGAGGATGTAGATGATCGAGACAGAGATGATGGCAGTAGGAGCAGCGATCTTGAGGGTTCGCACGGGGTTGCGGGTTTCGCTGAGGGCGTAGTTGGCATTGCTGTAACCGACAAAACTCCAGATGACATTGTACAGAGCAGTGACAACACCGTAGGCGCTGCCGGTAGTGCCCTCAAAGGCATTGCTGAAGTTGTTGGGCTTCTCGTCAGTCTTGAGATGACCACCAAGAGCGACAAAACCGCAGATGATCATGATGAAGACGATGATGAGCTTGATGATACCGAGAACATTCTGAAGACGAAGACCCCATTTAAGAGCAGTTCCGTGGATGATGAACGCAGTTGTGATACAAGCCAGACCAATACCTCGCTGGTTCCAACGGTCAACCTCCTTGTTGGCAGCATGCAGGATGTACTCTCCAAACACAACAGAGTTACCAGAAGCCCAGCCCATGAGAATGATGTACGAAGCGTAGATGCCAGTGACGAGGAACTTGGGCTTGCGGTAGATGAACTCGAGATAGTTCTTCTCACCACCGTTCTTGGGGATACCGGTTCCCCATTCGAGGTAGACGGCTGTACCAGCGGCGGCGATGATGGAACCGACGACCCAGATGATGAGGGCTAGACCTGGACTGCCGAGGAGAGCGAGGATAGAGCCGGGCGTGGCAAAGATACCAGTTCCAATGACACGGTTGAAGATGAGCATAGAGGCGCTCAGAACACCGATCTGGCGCTTGTTTTCGGCGGCAACATGAAGACGGCCTGTAAAGTTAGCAACGCTCTATGAACAGTTGTCATTGTAGACATACCCTCTTCACTGTCTGAACCGACATAGTTAGTCTTGTTCGCCTTGGGCTCAAGACCCTTGAGATCGTCGTTACTCATGATTCCGACTCTATACAAAAACCGAATATCTGATGAACCATCTCCAACAAAGGGGATCCCCCATCCCCTTTAATACTACCTCCCCCCATATCCTCATTCCCCATGGGAAGGCAAAAAAATAAGGAAAAGCTTAGGTGATCCACCCCAAAGTCTAGAAGGCCGCCAGAAACGGCACGATCCTTGAATCGTGCCATTCGGTGAGCCACCAATCATGACCGGGATGAAGCTCTTGGTGGGCAGCTAATGTGTCATGAAAATATCTGCTTGGTGTTTTTAGAGCGACTAGGACGATGACGCGATCTGAGGTGATCGCACGCTTATTTCCACACAGCCAATTAGATTTGGCCAAGATGCTCAGTTGGTCCACTCTGGGCATGGGTGAGAAAAAGTCTCCCCGGGCATCGCGCCGCTTGTATATGGATCCAGACTCGTGGGACTGCGGCTTGTTGAGGCTCAGTTTAGGTCTTTGTTTTAACTACCTTCCAGTTTCAGCTGTGGATATTGGCGTGCGAGGTTATACGATTGGAAGAGTGGGTGATTATGCATCAAGGAAGGGGTTGCTTGTCAAGAAAATTACATCCCACGCTCATCCATCGACTGTATGTAACAGGGAGCACCACCTCGTGTGACTCCCCGAGGCATTGCGTGATAAACACACATACTTCCAAAGACAGTTAAGCAATAATAATAAGCTCATTCCCTTTCAGCCTGTTCTTAACCCATAAGGTCGTACTCCCCGAAGATCCCTGCTTCAGCTTAGGCTTGCCACACGGGAGCTACGATAATATCACCATTGTTGCCTCAGACCACGTCAAGTAAGCTCACCTGCCTGATCTACAGTAGCTCGAACAAAAGTTCAAGAATGTTTTTATTATTTCTTGGCTTTGTGTAGTGAATCATAGAGCTATTGGTTTGCTTGTACTTGGGCTAACTTGTTGTTGGGTACTGGCCGATGACGTGCCCGGGCCAAGGGATTGTCCCTTAACTTAACATTTTTGCTCGCTTTCACACGCTTTGCACCGGGTTGCCTGCTAATTTCGGTTTGAAGGATGAAATATCTGAAAATTCAATTGCCTATTCTGTGTGTGTTGCCCGTAAATGTTGTTTGCCAAGATGATATGGAACTCAGATCATAGAGATGATCGTTTGCAATCCAGCCACGAGATGGAGTCATCGCCAAAGGAGTAAACACCGATCATAGATCGAGAACCACACGGTCAGCAGTTGGATAGTGTAAGACTTACATGATATCGTGTCCAATATTACCCATCTCCCCACTGGAGAGTACGATGGAGAACGTCACTACTCTACCCTTGACAATGCGGGTGGCGTTAGTTTGCCTGGCGGCTATTAACCTAGCTTGATCTGCCGGCTACTGATTCCGAAGGCGTTTAAGGTGCTTCTAGTGGAGGGCTTTTGCAATTCCTTTTCGCTGAGTGGTTGCATGTGTTCACGTCGCTTGACCTTACCCTGCAGCTGAGGTCTATTTTGACATACAGGAGAGCCCATCTATATTCTTCTGAGTCATAGAGTCATGTGGATCTTCAAATGACTAATCTTTGACATCAATTGGTTTGGTGATCACGTTTATGGTATAATATCTTTGGATTCCTAATGTATCAAAGAGCAGGCTCCCGACTCTCAGTCCACTACACTCAAGCCAATGCACAACAACGCCTAATTTGCCCACCTAAGTTCTCTGTGGCGACTTAAACAATTAATGTTAATATCATTTCGTTATTCCGCCCCCAAATTCATAAAGTCAATAGCATTTGTAATTTTGATAGTAATTACTCGCCCCAAAAACCTCTGTGTCAATTTTCAGCTGTCTAGTACGGACTTTCAATGCTTCATTTGGTTTATACACAGCTCGATAAAACAGATACACTTCTCGAGGAGCACTGAAGACTCTTATACTAGCCAGTATTAATTCCAAAAACTAACAAGAACACAAGGACTCATGAGTGGAGTGCTTGGCGGCTTGGCCCTTGAGATGTTGAGAACTAAACTATCCAAGAGCATAGCCTGCACTGAGGGCAAAGGCGATTTGAACCTATGGACCATAAAAGCTACTTCGACTGAGAGATACTAGACTTCTCTGAAAGATTGGCTCATATTCATGTAGACATCATACCAAGAGACAAAGAGCTCGTCATGAGCCCTGACTTCTGTCCCTTAAGTCACACCCATATATGCAGATGCAGTGATGTTCGCTGTTCAGTCGCACTTATGGGCCGTTATTGAAGCTAATATTGAAGATAGGAAATAGTCGAAAAGGGTCCATTGGCACTGGGTTGAGATGAAGCTGACTCAGACGTTTGGTGGGACACAGGAATGTCATCATGACATATAGGCAAGACTTAAGTGCCAACATTGTAACAACGGCACATGAAAAGATCTCATATACTGAGATGGTTCAGACTAATGTAGAGTTCTGGTACATGAGACTGTTTCACTATATGTTAGGAAGATACCGGATGACAAAAAGTATGTTGGTCTGCTGTTTGGTCTCATGATATGAGCATCAGCCACCACCTATCGCGGGTCAGCATAATAACTAATTCGACATTCAATCGCGATAAAAGAGTAGCTAGTAGATCAGAGAAGAAGTCCTTATACACGTCCGACATTGAGAAGTGTTTGCACCTTGGTTCCAAAGCCTTGTGTGGTGCCGAGCATGCCGAAACAGACCGTAGACTCTCCAATTGATCGCTATGCGTCACATCATGTCCATTGTTGACACATGCACCATTCACTAGGTATCAGCTATAGGACCGCCAATAAGAACAAGCAACCTTGCGAGTTGTCAATTGACAGGAACAGTGTGCTGTTGACGATGACGGCATAGTCATGACAAGCGGCATGGCCCGTAGCGGTCCAAATTAGATGCCGATCTCTTCAACGGTCGGTGAATCAGTCACACGAGCAGTTTGTAGGCATAAAAGATAACCTACAGAGCAGCTCTTTCACCCTGCAAACTCTCTTCATGTCTTTATCTGCAGCCGCATCAATTGCCGATAGGTAGGTATACAGTCAGCAACCGTGGTGGCTGATTGTGGCGCTACAGCCCCATATCAACGCGTTGCCGGTCAACGCGCCCACGCTCAGCTCAACTTGCGACCAGCATCTAACTACAGTGACGCAATACCACAACCGCTGAACACAACTCAACGCGAACAATCGCAAAGTCATCGCGACTATCGTGGTCTTCGCTGCTGAGTCATGGTATCACCCAACAAAGGTATTTCTCCTCATCGCATCTCGTTTCGTCCGCTCACAATCCAGATCCCTACGACTTTCCAGCTTCCCCGTTAAAGACCCGAGACGCTATGGCTGCAGAGAGCCCTTCCAAGGAAGATGGCTTGGCCCATCGCGAGAAGCCCGACACCACCAAGGCTTCTCCTGCGCTGAGAACCGGCACTCCTCGTGGAAATACTCCTCGAGGCGCAACCCCACGAACTTCATCCCGAGTTGGCACACCCAAGGCTGGCACTCCGCGCGGAACCCCCAAAGTCAGCACCCCTAAGACAGAAACCCCCGCGAAGAAATCTGCACCCGTCGTCCCTGATTCTCCTGCCGAACCTGCCGATAAGAGCACTGAGAAGGACGGTGACAAGCTCAATGGCGACGAAGTGAACGGTGTCGAAGTCAACGGCGCTGCGCCAAAACCCGCCAATCCCGGTTTTAAGGAAGATGTGGCCATTGACGAGTTCGTTGAGCACCGCGTCGACCCCGACAACTCGACCGTCGACATCAAAGTCAAGTGGGAAGGTGGCGAAACCACCTGGGAGTCAGAATGGAGTCTCCAAGAGCAGGTCCCCACGCTCGTCTACAAGTACTGGGAGAAGCTTGGAGGTCGAGAGGAGGCGACCCAGCTGGACGTCTACCACGTCTTCAAGATCCTCAAGTGCATCCCCGCCGTTGGCAGGAAGAAGACCACCTACCAAGTCCAGTGGGTCGGCTACAAGCAAAACGACTCTACCTTTGAGAACGAGGAGAAGCTGCGATTGATCGCGCCGGGTGAGCTGGAGAAGTTTGAGGCTAAGCAGTTGGCTAGCGGCGCTTCTGCTGAGAAGCGCAAGACTGCACGCGGACCTGGACGACCTCGCAAGAAGCCGCGATATGACGACTGAGGGACAATTGGCGAGGGTGGAGAAAACAGTTGGCGAAGCGGGTGAAGCAATTGAAGCGATTGTGGACTATTTACACTTTTTGACAAGGCGCACGCTTCGGCGAAGACAGCCAAAAGGACATGTAGAGAGTATCTGGGCGCACACGATGGATATGTATTTACTGGAACAAACATCACATTTAATCAGCCCTTGTGCCCTCCTCCTTGAGTAATGGGAAATGTCCGTGATCCTCCTTGAACGACATGAGGGAAAATTGCGCAATCACGAAAACCCAGTACAGGTTGTAGGCAAGCACAGATCCATACGTAGCGGAATTGTTCCATCCGACCACAGCATTCAGAATAGCCCAGCCTCCACCACCGTTGAGCTGAGGATTGCAGCACTGGATTGTCAGTAGGATTCCGCAAGGCTGAGGAGGCTACTCACGTTAACGTGCCAGATACTCCGGTCGATATCGTATGATCCAGGCCCATCTCCGAGTTCCGCGGCATCACCGCCGACAACCTTGTTCCACTGTTGTTGCTCAAAGAGCCAGATTGCGCGGGAGAACAGACCTGCTGCGACGAGGTAGAGAAGACATGTTGAGGCGACGAGGAAATATTGCAGTTTCGCAGACGAACCGCCCCTGACAAGTTAGACACGTTCGTCAATTGATCGACTGACTTACCGGTAGAGAGCATAGCCGACAAGGCCGCCCAGCATTAATCCCATGATGACGGGGAGAGGAACGGCAGAAGCGGGGGCAGAGAATGAGACACCAGCGACGAAAACGATGCCCTCGATACCTTCACGAAGAACAGTAATGAAGGGCAACACGAACATGGCGTACTTCTCAAAGAGATTAACCAACCACGCTCGCTTTCCTTGAGTCGTGACCGGTGTCTCAATCGCCTTTGCCAATTTCGCCCTCCATTTATCCTCCATCTTACCAACACGCAACAACGCACCGCCCATGATGGTGATGATGACAGCCGAAATGAGCGAAAACACTCCCTCGTAGTAATACTCATGATCAGCCCAGGTATCGTTACCAAGAATATAAAATATCCCAATAATTATACCAGAGCCGATGAGACACAGCGCAAGACCCAAGCCCGTTCCAAGCCAGACCTAAAGAATTCAGCCATTGTACTCTAAATTGACTCAGTTCAAAAGGTACCTGTGTGCGCAAGGTTTTGTAAATGCCAGCATCGCGCTGGGATCCATCGAGGGTCTGTTTCAGAAAGGCCAGCAGCACCGAGACGATGATAGCAGTCTCGAGGGTCTCGCGAAAGACGACAACGAAGACGGGCACGGAGAACAAATCGAGCATTTTGGGCGATTTTTGATGTTTCTGACGATGAAAGATCAGAAAGATCAGATAACAGAATTTCCGATAACCGCTGCTAAGCTCGACCGAGGTTGGGAACTAATGGGACTTGAGGGTCACACAATGTCCACAATTGATCGTATGACCGTCGAATCAAACCAAGCTAAGAAAAATTCTGTCCAAAGAGAAGCCCTAAATCTTAAATAACCGCGCATAACATGACATTTTTCTTTTCGTCCGACGTCGGATTATCTGATTGATAAGATCCACTTTCCCCCAATCCCTCCTCCAACAACCATCCAGGTCCCTAGTCAACATGAGGATCTCGCGGTTGGCTTTGTTGCCGGCGGCTTTGGCTGCGACGGTGTCTTATGACTTTTCTGTTGAGTGGGTTCGAGCAAACCCAGATGGTGCGTTTGAGAGGTCTACGATAGGGATTAATGGGGCGTGGCCGATACCGAGGATTGAGGCGAGTGTTGGGGATACGGTTTTGGTTAATGTGAGGAATAATCTGGGGAACCAGTCTACGAGTCTGCATTTTCATGGGCTTTTTATGAATGGTTCGAATCATATGGATGGGCCGTCGCAGGTTACGCAGTGTCCTATTCAGCCCGGGGAGTCGTTTCTCTACAACTTTACGGTATGTTCCTTGTCTCTGTACGAACTTCCAAAAATATACTGACTTGAAAGATCACTCAACCGGGCACATATTGGTATCATTCACACACTGAGAGTCAATACCCTGACGGCCTTCGAGGACCTCTCATCATTCACGACCCAAAGTCACCTTTCAAAGGAAAATACGACCAAGAACTTGTCATGACCATATCAGACTGGTATCACGATCAAATGCAGACGTTGATTCCTGAGTTTATGAGGAAAGGAAACCCAACTGGTGCAGAGCCTGTACCCCAAGCAGCTCTCATGAATGAAACTCAAGATCTCAAAGTACCTGTTCAAAAAGGCAAGACGTACTTTTTGAGATTGGCGAATATCGGTGCCTTTGCGGGACAGTATTTCTGGATCGAGGGACATAACATGACGATTGTTGAGGTTGATGGTGCCTACACGAAGCCGGCTCCAGCGAATATGGTTTATTTATCTGCTGGTCAGCGATGCAGTGTATTGGTCACAACGAGGGAGGATTCATCAGAAAACTTTCCCATCATTGCAAGCATGGATACTGTAAGTTTGTCACTCTTTGATTTACGTGGCTGACCGTTTAGGATCTCTTTGACGTTCTCCCCGATGATCTCAACTGGAATGTAACAGGATGGCTCGTATACAATGAAGAAAAGCCCCTTCCCAAGCCATCCGTCGTCTACGACTTTGATCCCTATGATGATATGGATCTTGTGCCGTACGATGAAATGGCAATACTTCCTGAACCAAGCAGAAGTATCGAGCTTGATGTCATCATGGATAACCTTCGAGACGGCGCAAACTATGCCTTCTTCAACAACATCACCTACCGAGCTCCCAAGGTTCCTACACTTTACACTGCGTTGACAAGTGGAAAGCAAGCGACGAATCCTCAGATATATGGAACGTATACGCATAGCTTTGTGTTGGAGAAGGATGAGATCGTGCAGTTGGTGATTAACAACCGAGATGATGGACGGCATCCGTTTCACTTGCATGGGCACCACTTTCAGGTGTTGTATCGAAGTGATGACGACGCTGGTGACTTTGATGGATCGGTGGAGTTTGCGGAGACGCCGATGAGACGAGATACAGTCGTTGTGAACGGGAATGGCAATGTGGTGCTGAGATTCAAGGCTGATAACCCAGGTATGTCCCCCGATTGAGTGTTAAACGAAGCTAATCGTCAGGTGTCTGGCTTTTCCACTGCCATATCGAATGGCACGTCACGTCCGGATTGATCGCGACATTCGTTGAAGACCCCCTCGCCCTACAAGCTTCATTGAAACTCCCCAAGAACCACCTCGATGCATGCAAAGCGGGTAACATTCCCACCGCCGGTAACGCAGCTGGAAACACTGATCTTCTCGACCTCACGGGCGAAAACGTCCCTCCACCACGTCTTCCAGAAGGGTACGTCCCCCCCTTCCCTCACACGACAACACTAACAGTCACAGCTTTACGCTCAAAGGCATCCTCGCATTCGCATTCAGTACATTCATGGGTATTTTCGGTATCTACACAGTCGCATCCTACGGGATGAAGAAGGACAAAAAGACACCCGAGACAGCACCTCTCCTCGCAGACGAAGAGCCGCAACATTAGATTAGACAATAGATCGCTACCAACGCCTCACAACCCTCCCCGTAACAGCTCATTTCTGCTTGGGCGGAGCAGCTGGATACTTTGAAACCTCTCTCAAATGATCTGGCGTACCGAGTGCCTCCATTTCGCCACCGCGCTCCTTGAAGGCGACTTTGCGACCGCAGTTCTTGCAGAAATGGCTAATGTTTGGCGCGCAATGACATGCGTACGGGAAAATAACACCAAAAAGAGTCGTGAAGAAAAGAGCGGTTGCGTAGATACTACATCTCAATTAGATACCTCATATGTGATCAATTGGGGAGTAAGCGTACTGTGTCATTGAAGAAGCAGACTTCTTAACCTTTGTCTCGGCGCGACGCTGACAAAACGGACAATCCATCATATCAGCCTGGTCAGCCAGCAAATGCAACGGCGTGACAGTTTCTCCCGGGGGAACCTGTTGCGCTGGAATGGCCATGGACTGATGCCCCGCGTACTGCTGCTGCGCAAGAGCAGGGTGCTGTAGGATCGGTGGCGATTGTGTAGCGTCCCAGTTCAATGTACTTTCGGGCGCGGGAGAAACAGTCGAGACGGGACGATATTCGCTTGCGGGGGGAGGACTCATTTGCGCTGGGCTGGTGACGACTTCGGGGAGGTTCTCGTCGTCGACTTTTGGCTGTCTTGTTCACTGTCAGCGGCGCGTGAGATTTGGTGGAAGGGGGGTTTAGTGTAGCGTACTCAATTGCGATTTTCTCGTCTTGGGGTAATTCAGCGTTTGCTGTGTATTTTGGAGGCGAGATTACGTCCGCGTTTGTTGTTTCTGGCGATACGGTCGACATTTTGACGGGAGAGAACAAGGCTGTGAAGAATTGAGGCTGTGAGGATGAGATTTGGACTGAATTAAAAAGATGAGATGCTCGTATCCAAGAGTCCGAGAGAGGATTAAACAAGATACGTAAGCGGGGGAGACCCTGGTTCTTAGCTTGACCCTTTCGCGCGCTTTCGTTTCAGCTGCTGATCCCCGCCACTTTGACCGAAAATCATTTGATTAGCTCTGATCTTCTGTTGCTGTTTCTATTCTCGCTACTTCATCATCCGCATCGATTCGTGGCTTTGGGCAGAGAATTGGGAATCTTGCATAGAGAGTGCCAAGTTTTAGAGGCATCGCGAACCAAAAAAGGTCTGACCCGCCGAAAGATTGGCGATTGGCGGTTTGTTGCAGGGTTGTTGGAGGCTTAGTGCTTATCTTGCAGGGGTGATCACTGAGGGCATGATCGGCAAGCCCGGGATACTATGTTGTATGTTTGATTTTTACCGTTATCTTGCACAAAGTAGCATAATTCTAACCGTTTTTACTAGATTAGGCTCCGTTTACCTGAAAATCAGGGTACTAACCTAATTAAGGTTAGGTATCTGTTTTTCTTAATGTATCGAGCTAGTAGGGGCCGCTTAGGCTACCTATATAGGTAAGGTTGCTAAGAAATTCCTCCAATTTGCAGCTTTTAACAGGTTGGTATTCCGGCTGCAAAACGGCACAAATTTGGGTACCTCGAAGGATCAATGTACCCAAAAATCATCTACAGGTTGCCGGGGTTGGAAATGTGCAAAACTGGGCCCTGATATACCAAGATTTGCCACTCAGGTTTTCTTTTAATATTTATATATTTCTTAATAAAACTAAAAAATAAAATTAAAATATCTAATAAAATAGAAATTTATATACTATTTAATATAAGTATTTTTATATTTCGATAGTAAGGAAAATAAGAGAGATAATATAGATATATATATTCTGGATCTTGTACCAACGCTAACATTTCCAACCCCGGCAACCTGTACAACATACTATCCCGGGCTTGCCGATCATGGCCTGAGCTAGCGGAATCCCGTATCCGTCGGAGTTATCGATAATAGGAATGGTCAATTGACTTTCGACGAAACGTTGATGTTGACTTTATAGGCAGGGCTGAGTTGATTTTATCGATCTCGAACATACTCGACCGCTTCGGATCACAGAAGTATCGTCATAATAATCTTTTACTTTGTAGAGTAGTAAAAACTGTGGTTCACGACCTCGTATGTATCAACACCAGTTGCCTTGGGACTCTTGCATGTGGCTTTCAGCTCTGAGGCAGACTGTGGCATTCTTGACCAACAGCGTCCATCGGTTGTCACATGGAGGCTACTATTGGGCCAGTTTCGGTATCTTGTGTAACAAACAAAAGAAACCTGACCAAAGAAAATCAAGGACAGTTATGCAGTTGGACGCATGCCTTTCAAGAATGTGACTCTGGGGACGAGAATGTCCGACTGGGAAGAATAAGCAACGCAAAGAGCCACCAATTTTGTGAAAGGCCTTCACAGGTATTATTGTCTCTCAGATTCAATCTCTACCGACCAGTGCTACAATGGAAGGTTAAATACAAAAGGCCCCCAACTGGGCTCAGCATGCGGGTGTCTTCAAGACTCTCATTATTTCACAGATACTTGCACCATGGATGAAACTACGCGGCTGGAGTTGAAAAGCCTCATATCAGCGACTAGATCGCAGGTATCTGGAAATGCTTCAGTCCTACACCCAGCTGGTGTTGGAGAGTCGCTTCGATATTCTTCGCCGTCCTGGAGCAGGAGAGTAGGCTTAGCTGTGCTACTTATCCTCATCCCGATCGGATATTCAGGTAAGTTACATGAGTAAGAGAAGTACAGGCGCTCACTAGGCACCAGTCATCCTTGTCATGATGGCTTATTTGCATGGAAAGAAACAGAGCCCATTCGGCGACACGGTACTAGAAGTTCTAAGCGTTGCTTCCACCTTGTGGCCAATTTTGTTCGCTGCTGTCCTGGGACCATTGTTAAAATCCATTGCACTCTTCCGTGCTGAAAGAGGATCGAGGCTAGGCTCCCTAGAGTTCCTCTTGACCAGTCAGACCACGGCTTCTGCCCTGAAGAACATTCTCACGATGGGATGGATTGGTAGTTGGGCCATTGGCGTCATTGCAATATGGTCCCTGAGTCCTTTAGGAGGTCAAGCCGCACTCCGCTCATTGGGACTCCAGCAGAATCCTATTTCCACAAAGACGCCAGCAACTTACTACCTTGGGAATAATAGAAGTCAGGTCTACCAGTACTACCGCGCTGGGGCGAGCGTCTTCTTCGGAGCATCAGCTGGAGCATCGCTCATTTCAGATATGAGAACTATTCTTTCTACTTCGTTTTCGACTCAGGATATCCTTGTTTCGCACGCCAACACGAGTAGCCCACATTACAATGACACCATTGCTGACCTTGGGGGTAAGTGGGAAGCGTCTCGCAGTGGGCGCAGAGATTTGTGGCGAAATGTCCGCATTCCTTTTCTGGAACTCCTACCAGGATACGACGGCGAGGACCCTCATGCATGGGTGTCTGTTCCTGAAGATGAAATCGTCCCTTATGCTTCACTGATTGGACTCCCGATCCGAGGCGGCTCATTCGAAAGACCAGGAAACTCAAGCATGACAGTTCATTTCCATTATCAGACTCTTTCTTGCGGGAGTGCCTTCAATGGGAGCGAATGGGTCAGAAACGGTTCTGCGGCGCTCTGGTATCACAACACCAGGTCAAGCGTTCCTTTAAGGAACCAATACATGGGCGAAGCAGCACCTAATATGGGATACCCAAATATCTGGTTCGACTTCCCAAACACTTCCACGCTCACGGAGCACTTCACAGCAACATTCGACATGGAACCACAGTCAAAGTTGCAACTTGTGATGGGAGGTATATGCACTGACGCTGCATACAAAAATACGGAAATGCTCAGACTTTGCGACATCAGCACTTCGTATATCGACATGCAGATCGGCTGTACTAGAGCTACGGTCGATGCTGACCTCGTATGCCAGGCTAAACAGGCTAGGCACACGCCATCATACCCGATCAAGGGCAACTTGACAGCACTTTCAAGCTGGAGGCTAGCACCGGGAATTCTGCGAGAGCTACCATTCACGGGCGCAAGTCATCATGTCGAGGAGCCCAGCACGCTTGAGATGTATCTAAGGGACCCCCTTGGAGTCTTCCAGCGCATTCGCGGAGGATACATGGATGACCCGGAGACTACGAACAAGCTGGGATGCTTCGCTTCTCTCCCCGCGGAGATCATTGAACGCAGACTCGCAACTGTCCTCAACACGATCACCATGCCGACTTATGAAGTGAACGTGTTGACTGGTGGCAAGGGATTGTCACTCGATGGCGGACCAGTGCTCTGGCAGAATACCACTGCGACATGGGTGGAGTTTGACAGTGATATCTACAAGCTGAATAAGCCGTGGTTTATTACGACAATACTATCGACCGTAGTATTGATGATTTGTGCCGCTGCCAACATCGTTATTCGCCAGCGTATCAGAGCCCCCGATTTCCTGGATAGTGTTGCTGGGTTGACAAGAGATTCTCAATTCGTAGATGTCTCTCAAGAGGGAAGTGGGAAAAGTGGCTCTGACAGACTTGAAATGATCAGAGATGTCCAGGTTCGGATTTGTGATGTTTATCCAGAGCGAGAGATTGGGAAGATTGCTTTGACGACGGAACTAAACGGCCCAAAATTGAGATGGGAGCGGATCTATGCTTAGTTTCACGTGTACTGGCTATTTTACAATATTCTCGTTCTTCACTTTTGGAATATCCTGTGGATTGGAAACCGCGTTAGGTAAGTCACCTAAAGACCGCAGTCAGTACTTGGGATTATCAATGACGCTCAAGATATAAAGGCGCGTTGTTCATAGGTGAGGCGTGTGCCTAAGAGCTACAATCACCACCACAAGAGCTTAAAAACATACATGAGATAGCAGCATGCTCCCGGAAGACTTGGCCCTCTCACTTAACTGACATTGGGCATAATTGACTAACAAACCAAGTCTTGCACGACTGGCATGTCCACAACCAAAGTTCCTGGCTAAAGCATAAAGATCAGTAAGACATGCATACGGCCCGCTTCATCCGACTATGAATTTCCCGGAAAAGCTACCGACAGATTCATATAGCTGAAAGCCCTTGCCTATTGGAGCCCGCTCGAAAGTGCGACATACATTGCATTCACAGCATGTTCGTTGCTCCAGAAGAGGCAGCTCAGTCGTGACCGAGACTTGGTGAGTGCGACAAGAGAAAAGAGATAAGGGGAGTGATCGCTAACCCAATAGAATTGTTTCCAGATGGACTTCACATGAAGACTGCAGATTCAAGTCAAGCCCAGTCTTGGTTCTTTGCCTAAAGTGGCCATACAGAGACCAAGACCAGCTGCAGGCTCGACCCTGATGAGAAAACAACCATCAACCAATGGCCTTCGGGTCAGTAGATGCAAAACGCTTTAGGTCCTATTCACCGAGGAGGGGCATCGATGCACGAACGCGGGGTTGTGAGACATGATAGACTTGCCGAAGTTGAATTGGCGAATTACCTGAAAGTTTCACCATTGTGTTGCGCAAGCAATTGCTTATGGTGCCGCCAAGAGAGGGGCAAAGGACCGATTGAAGTCTGTAGTTGGAAGGGAGAGAGGAATGAGTGAACAGTCACTGTAGATGTCAGATGAGCCGCGTAGAAGATGAGAGAAGGCTCGATGTGTATAAATGCCCCAACCCTCATGTCGGCAGATAGCCAAACTCATCTTCATCAAACACTTCAGCTCGACAACTTACTCAAAAAACTATCATCATGCCTTCTGGTCTTCCCACTGCCCCCGATACTGAGATTGGCTTCCAGCCACCTCCCCCCTCCAAAGGCCCCCTCGACAAGATCCGCAAAGGTCTCGTCGGCATCATCCCCTTGCCTGAACTTGGCGAGAAACCTGTTATATACAACCCCGTCATCATCGTTCTCACAGGCTACCTTGAGACCGTCAAGCCTGGTGCTCTTGATGAAGCCGTCCACTCTGCATACCAGCAGATCCCCCAGTTCATGGACAAGCTGAACATCAGCGATGCCCGATCGTTCTTAGACTTTGCCAACGATCTTCTCAAATGGGTTCCTCACGAGAACTACGAGGGCAAGGATATTTACGATATTCTTTGCATGTTTTACTTCATCATCGACCAGCCTCCTCTGGCGAACCTTCAGACTTCCATCTCGCCTGATCAAGTTGGTCAGCCGCTCACTTGGCTCTCCTCATGGATAGTCGTGTATGCGCAGCTTATTGGGCTGTTCATGGACTCACCTGCCTCACTCACGAAAGAGTCTCTTGAGAGCTTCAGTCAAAAGAACTCTCCCAAGTACAACTATGACGAAGCTTTGGTCCCAGAGGGTGGTTTCCGTACCTTTAACCAGTTCTTCTCTCGCCATCTCAAACCTGGCATGCGACCTATTGCAGAGCCAGAGAACGATCGTGTCATCGTTTACCCAGCTGACTGCACGTATGACAATTCGGTCGCCAACCAGAACATTGTCAACATTGAGTCTGACGGGGTGATTATGATCAAGAACCTTCCCTGGACCATCTCATCTCTTCTCCAGGGAAGTGAGTACGCGGATGAGTTCCATGGTGGTGTCTGGATGCATGCCTTCCTCAACACCTTCAACTACCATCGCCAGCACGCTCCTGTTGCTGGTGAAGTTCTTGAAGCGAAGAACATTCAGGGTGCGGCTTACATGGAGGTCAACTCTAAATGTGAGCCCATGCGTGTTATGTGCGGTCCAGATGCTCCCGACACGCCTGGATATCAGTTCCTGCAGACCCGTGGCATGATCATCATCAACAACCCCGTTTTGGGCAAGGTTGCCGTTCTTCCTATCGGTATGGCCCAGGTTTCATCCGTCAAGATAACGATTCAGAAAGGTGATAGAGTGGAGAAGGGACAAGAGATTTCGTACTTCCAGTTTGGAGGATCGGATGTCATCTGTGTGTTCCAGCCCAAGGCGGGGCTACGGGTTGAGGATTTCGTTGCTTCGACTAACAACACGTACTCCAAGTATGGTACCGTCTTGGCGAGAGCTCCTCAGAAGTAATCAAAGGTTTCTGCCGTATACGGTTAAGATCATAACTATCTAGCCGAATAAACGAAACTGACGGGGGCCTTTCTGTTACCTTGGGATACTGAGGATACCTGAAATGAGGCCTGCTTCTCTGAGACATACATGCAGTTATGGCCTGTTTAAGCCCAATGGCAGAGTTTAATTAATCCCCAACGCTTTGTGAATGCAGATCTGGCCCATATTTTCTTAAGAGGCCATACTATTGCGAGATAGTTCATGGGTATTGAACAGGTTGGTCTTTCAGACATTGTCACTCATGATGCGTAAATTCCGACATTAACTTTGAGGAGAGATGTCCAAAAACAGCAAATTAGAATATTCTCATGCTTTCAATTCTTTAGTACATTCGGGATAGTTTTAGGACGTTGTTACGCAAATGTCTCTGCACCCCCGCACTCAAGCATCTTGCGAGACCTAAATTACCTCAAAAAGGCAACTTATGCGTTCTAGACCGACTGTTTCTGTGATCATTTCCTGCAAAGAGTTCCTGTGGCTAGCTGAAGACCACTAGTCCCCTGCAACTGAGTGGGTTGTCTTGGATGACGAATTCAACAGCTGCGATAGGCGGTTTGGCCGTGTATCAACTGATATATCAACTTCTTGAGGTCAAAGCGTAAGGTCATGAACAATTATTTATACAGAGAACTTTCTTTACTGAAAAACATCAAGTCTTCTCGTCAATTCAGTCTTGAGATTCATCATCATTTCTCACCATGGCCGATCCGTCCCACTTCACTGATCCCTTTTGGGAACCCCAGGATCAGATCCCTGTTGAACTTGACGCTCAACCCCAAATCAGCCCCTTCAAACCCGCCAATCTTCTATACTCAATCTCCTCTTCCTTGGAGACCACTCCCGTTGGGATTGAATTTGCCGTGGGAGGTCTCGGTACCATTGCCGCCAAAGCTGATTCTCCCACAGAAAGTGTTGTATTTACCATTCGCCCCGAAAAGCGAAAGGAACAGCCAACTCTGAGGCTTGAAATCACCAAGACTGACTGCGTTCTGTCAAAGAAGGACAAAGATGCTGACAAGTTTGTCGCATATAAAGAAAAACTCACTTTTCAATCCGATGAAGAGAGGAGCAAGTTTCACGACCTTGTCATGTTCCCGAAGGGAAAAACCTCAGCGTTGCTTGACACGTTGACTAAGAGGCCTACTTACTGGATCTCGGTTGATAGAAGCAACGCTCGCATCCGGTATGGCCAATCCCTGATCAACAATTCCATGACTTTCATGGAGATTCAGTTCGACAAGGAGAAAGCTGCTTGGATGGACAATCTCGTTTCCACCGAAGTTGAGCAAGACGGATCTCCGATTTCGAACAAAGAAATCAAGTACAAGCCGCAGCCTGTCACTGTTGATCTCCCTCCTGTTGTTATCCCCGAGTCGGAGATGACACTGGACATCCTGGAGAAAATGACAGCCATGACGTTTGCCAATCTGCCCAAGGCCTGTCAGAAGCTGTACCATAACATTTCCGGAGCCAAGATCACAGCGAGACCGGATTCGTTCCCGAAGCTTCCTGAAGCTATTGACGAGAGCTGCAGAGATGAGAACAAGTACTGCGGGGCCATTCTCAAGGCAAAGGACACCTTCAAAGATCCAACTGAGACCTATCTTCGCATCACGATTGGTGATAATCTGGTATGTCCGCAATTATTGGCTTTGACCGCAACTAACACTAGCAGGCCGATTCACCCGGAATTCCCTACGTCATGGAAATCTGGCCTCCAGGTCACAAGTCGCCTATTCATCAGCACGGCGACGCCTCAGCGGTCATCAGAGTCCTCTACGGAAAGATCCAAGTATCGTGGTTCGACAAGGTCGAGGAAGGAAGTAATCCACAACTTATTGGTAACCCAGTGATTCTTGAAGAAGGCAAAGTCACTTGGTTAGGCAAGGATCAGTATCAAGTCCATCAACTGGAAAACACCTCAAACACTGTCTGTATCACTCTTCAGTGCTATCAGTTTGACGATGATGATAGGGTTCACGATGAGGCGTTTTACTGGATGGATAACCAGGGGCATAGGAACAAGTTCATTCCGAATAGCGATAGTGCGTACGGGCTGTTCGTGCAGAAGGTCAAGGATGAGTGGGAGAAGTCACACCGAGCCTAGCATCTAGTAGTATAACTGTGTTCACTATCTGCACTACCGCCTACAATCTCCGCTCTCCCTGCTCTGTGAGAATTGGTCGTTATCTGCCTGCACAACAGCAGCCCTTATTTCTGTCCACTAAATGATCTTGCTGCGAAAGGTTTCGAAAGACTCGTTGCCTTCAGTGCCATCGCCTGGGGTGGTGACATGTCGCAGAGCAGCCATGTGGCAAGCGAGTAAGGCGTTGGTCTCAGTGGAAGCCAAAGTGTTGAGTGTAAACTTCTTCTTGTCCGCCTCCCTTGCATTCCAAGTCAGAGTCAGGTCAAAGCGGGCATAGATACGGTATCTGTCCCCATCAACCTTCTTCAAGAGATAGTCAGAGAAGTAGGCGCGGGAGATTCCCTGACCGTCTCCTAGCTCAGTCTTCATATTAACCAATCCGTCTGGACAGTCTTTGTACAGAGCTTTCTCTCTCACACTTGTCGGGGTTTTCCCCATTAGAACGCTCGGAGGGTCCAGGACGGCTGTTATCTTCAGAGTGTCTGAGTACACGTATTCATACGTGTCACCGAAGAAGCCCTTGGTGAGGCCAGAGTCAACTCCCCAGCAGGTGTTCCAGTTTGATGCTCCAGCCCCACTGGCGAAGTCCGTGACCTCTCCTGTAGCGTCTACCAGCTGGTATGCAGGAGTGGATGCTTTGTTGACCAAGTTACCGGTCTTGGCAGCATTGTCAACGACGAGCTGTCGAGTGATGAATTGGAGCCAGTAGAAGTCGTTATACTTTGCATCGTCCTGGAGAACTAGGGCGAAGCCGCCAAAGTCGTTGGTGGCCGTCTTGATCTTGCTGGCCAAGATGGCAGTACCAGTTCCATCAATGGCAGTTAGTCGAGCATTGATTGCATTTTCTGCTGGAAGTGGGTTTGAAACGTTCTGAGCGGCAAGTTCCACGAGCTTGGCTCCATAAGGCTCTGTCTGGTCAATACCCGTGTGCCGAGCCATGGCTAATACTTGATTGTATGTAGGAGTGATGTTATTGGCAGTGGATAAGCTGAAGGCGTGCAATTGAAGATTGACTGCGTTGGTTTGGACAAGATAAGCGAACTCTCTGGAACCGAGCCTCTATTTAACTTTCATGGAACAAGAACTGAAGGCATGTGATGATATACAGTCACATTTCTTCAGCTATGCGGCTTCACCGCCACCATTCAATAGCTGCCGGAGCTGAAAGCTGAGTAACCAATAATCAACGTTCAAAGTTATCAAAATGCCACTCTGGGGCTTACTTCAGCGGGGGGAACGTATCACGAGAGCCTTCTGATTGCCTAAAGGGACCAAAGCCAGGTCACATTCGTAAAAAATATTTACATAAGCGGTGTTCCGAATATGATTGATAATCTTGAGTTATCGATTGACTCTTTGAAGTCTGCTTGCGACTGTAGGAAACTCTGTGTCATTTCTTCGATTACTGTCAGTAAAGTAAGCGGTATCGTGGGAATGTTGAGTGAGTCAGTCCAGCTGATCCATTCATTTGGGAGGTTAAGAAAAGGGCCGAAATAGTGCTCTGCCCATGCCAGAACAGATGTCCCCTTTCGCAGTAGTCATGCTCGCATATCACTGTGCTACATGGAGCTCTGTTGCTCGGACTGATACAGAATCATCAGGTCCATTTGCCAACCTCTCCGTATGCTAAACAATCTACCGGAAAGCATGATGTTGAACAGGTCAAGTCAAGGTTCATGTGAGGATTGTGCGAGTATTTTCACCTATGGTTGAATTGCATGTGAAGCCTAACGGAATTGCTACATAGGACTGGGCCTTGATGCTGATAACTCATTCCTACTGACTAGGCAAGGATGTCATTTCGGGTGAGGAGTTGTTGATGATGGTGTCGATGATCTCAGGATGGAAGGTGTACCGAACCTCTCCATCCTGTCCAGGCATGGGTGCAATCTTGCGGCTGATACTGAGCTTCATTGTGTGATCTCTATCCAAGTCTCTAGGGTCAATGACCTTGCCGTCAATCTGGAATTCGTTCAGTCAGTCAAATTGTTTCATCTCAACAATAGCCAATGCTGCCACTTACGGTCTGAACGCGCCACTTCAAGTTATCGATGAGGAATCGCTCAACATCCTCTGGGGCCAGACTACCCAACTGCTGGATTTTGACGTAATCAAGTAGCAGAGACGTCATGGGAGTGGTGCTAGTAACAAGCTGGACTTGACGCTCCTGGTCTGCGCAGTTCTCGCAAATCTCGGAGCTGGAAGTAAAGATATGCGAAACTCCAACAAAGCCTGGGAGGGAAGACCATTCCATACCAGAATGGCCGTCAACATCACCAATGATGTAGAAAATGGTGTAAGATCCATTCAAAGCCATCCTGCGCAATTGTTAGTTAGGGCCGTTTGCCTTAAGAACTTGTCTGTGCTTACCTCTCGACAACGACATCGATGTACCACTCTTGGGAGAACTTGGAGGATGGGGTTGACGCTGCCAGAACACTTTGCTCCTTGCTTGGCTGGATTGGCGGCGGGATCAGAGGCCTGAATAGATCCTCAGAAGGCAAGCCAAGGAAGACTTGAGCTTTAGAGACGTCTAGAGGCTGCATGTCCTCTGGCGGTACCCCGATGTCTTCATTGACATCGAGTCTTCGGCTCCAGCCATATTTCCGCGTGAACTCATTACGAACTTGATCGCCTTTCCTTCCACCGGCAGTTTCAGAATACATGTATCCGAATGTATCAGTGTACTTGGCTGAATCAGAAGTCCAATACCTGTCTTCTTTGGCCGGTTTGATAGGCCACTTGCGGAATGGGTGAAGGCTTGCACCGCCCAAAGCTTGGAATTCCGTACCTGCCAACTCATTGAACCAATGCTTGTCGCCATCATCACTATTGGCAGCCTGCCAGATAGCGAGTATTCTATCAATTTGACTGTAGTCTTGTATCAGGAGACGAACTTGTTAGCTGCATCGCGAATGGTCTACTCACCAATGATGGATCCAAAAGATGGGATCAAACCCAGCCACAGGAACGCTGCCCATGTGTCCACCTCGAAGTTCATCCTTCGGGTCTCCTGCGAATCCACCGATGTGCCCGTGATAGGCATTATGAAACCCCTCGATCGATCCAGTGCTACTTCTCAGGGCTTTTATGGGATCAATGTTAGGGTCCATGACGCCGTCAGTCGAAAACGCTTTGAAGTTACTGTAGGCCTTATCCTCGATCAGGGCGAGACAGACACGCGTCTGATCCTCTCGAACTGAATTCAGAAGCCTGTTAAGGAGGATGGTATTTTCCGGCTCGGAGCCTCCGTGACGGCATGTTCGACTTTTGGCATCGCGTAGCTTGTTGAGCTAGTGTGGCGTAGACATGTCAGCAAGCCATCATCGTCGTTAAAACAAGAATAGACTCACATCGAGCTTAGAATACCTCCAGTCAATCCTGTCCGAGCCCTTCTTGTCAAATTCGAATTGGAAAAAAGGGTTGGGCATTTCAATTAGCTTGTTGTCAGGGAGACGCTTGACCATGACCCTCTTCTCCGTAAAGATCCTCGGGGCATGAAAGTCATATGGAGCTGTTGTTGTGGTGCCATCAACCACTCCTGGGAAGGTAACAGGCCCTCCTCTGGGGCGAAAATAGTCCCAGTACGGAAGTCGGAAATTCTTAGCAGCAGCCTTGTATTTCTGCTTATCTTCGTCTGACACTTCAGAAGACTCAGAAAATCGCTTGGCGATGTTATCGATTTGACGAAAGATGGTTTGCTAAACTCGGAGTGATCAGCAGAGTATTTCGTGGCGAGCCTGTCTTCTCACCTCAAGCATGGCAAGGTAAGGTCGATGCCACAGCGCGAAGGTTGGGGTGGAATGGGCGCAGTAGCCATCGCCATCTCTCGCGATATCACGCTTTGTCTTCCCACGGTCCTCTTCTCCAGCCCAGTCTTCGGCTGGCAGCCCATGTATACCTATTGCTAATTAGCAGTCGTTGGAGCAAGTGACTTGGTGTGAGACTTACCTGCAATCTGGTACCAAGACATGATATCATCCGAGGTGAAGGAATAGCCAGGGCCAGGTTTCCATGTTATTTCCTCCTTCTTCATGTCCTGAAGCTCCATCAAGGCGATGAGAAACAGATTGAAGGTGTCCGGCTGCGTCATCAACATAACGTCGATGTCAAGGCGCTCTCCTACACCTGCAACCTCATGGAGGCCGATTACAGCTCCCTCTTCATGAGCCTTGTTGATGTTGTCCATGATTTCGAAAGTTGATGTGTTCGAGATAGAGTGCCTCTGATGATCTTTGGGCTCTTAATGTCCTGGATGCTAAAAAGTAAACCATAAATTGAGGGCAATGCTGGCTTAATATACTTCGTTCTCCACTCCGGTAACGTACCAGCGAAAGACATGACAACATAAGTCCTACCATGCCCCTTCCGAGCGCTATTCCCTATCACAGGCGGCCGCCGTAGAAGCAGTCACATGCATTGAACTATTTCATGCAAACTAATGTCAATATATCGATCTCAGGTATGCGTCGAGTGCCCAGTAGGGCCTAGGCTAGCGCCGCTAGAGGCAACAGAAGCGCGGGTGGCGTTTTTGGCACCAGTAAGAAGCCCAGAGCAGGTGAATGGCGTTTCTTGTTACAGCTGAAGATAAACCCCAAAACATCGCATACACTTGTTTGAGGCTTCATACTATCGTATAGATTCATGGTGGCTTTTTCTTATCAGGTGCCGAGTCGACTGTCACACTGCATGCCAGCATTCTTTGGACCTTAGGCAATCCATTAATTTTCAGCTCTCTATACAGGACAGGTCACAACCCCTCATTTAAACTTCATTAGGCGCAGACTCAGCCAGCCTTTTTAAGCTTTGTCTTGGAGGCATGAACTCTCGCTTATTCAACCAGCCGATAGCCTTTAAAATCACGGTGCTGCATATATATGCCAAGATCACATACCAGCACCATCTGATCTGGGCCGGTCCATGCAAGAGGCGAGATATCACAAAACAAAGTCACGAGACGATACGGCCAAATATCAGTCAATAGATACTCCATACTGATTCGAAGCCGCCGGAGAAATGTGTCTCAGATTAGACTGTAAACTCAAACAATCTGTTCCGAGAAGATTCTCTGGAAGCCTGAAGCGATACCCGAGTGTACGAGCTGGGGAGGTTGCGGGATGCAAAGATGACTTACTGTTGAGCCGCAAGCCTCTGCTGACGATTCTTGGATACATTGAAGATACTTGTCAATGAGCACTGAAACAGAGAGTCTCACTGCTTGGACTGTATAGAAAAGGTGCTTATTAGCGACCATATCGTGGCTGCTGGATACACATAGCGACGTTGGGATTCAAGAACTTGAAGTCAGTTTATCCCCTGCTCGTTGAATCTATTTTAGTAAAATGACAGCCTCAGAGTGATTGGATCACTCAAAAAACCTAATTAGATGAATGCAGCCAAGTTTCACATAGCAGCGGCAGCAGACGTCAGAGATAGAGGGTAGTAAATTAGACTTAAGTCTTTACTACTGCATTATTGCTTAAAGAGTTATATTATAGTATACATATAAAGACAGAAATTTAAGATTATTCCCTTTTTAGTATCTCTTTACTTAATATAGCCCTGAGGTTGATTAAAATATTAGATTGTTAATATAAAAACTTCTAAGTAAAGGCTTTTATTAATAAAGTTCTTTTTATTTAATAATTATATTTATAACCTAAGGCCTAAACTTCATCCTTTTTATCTCAGTGTATAGGAAAAGGGCAATAATAGTAATCTTAATATAAAAACACGTCCCTTATTTTATACTAATTAGGTTCATGTATTCTCTATACGCTTAAATGCTTTAATTTAAGTCGAATCTAGTAGCCTGAGGATTACTTTTGAACCGTTTCTGGTAGGATAGGAACTCAATCAGAACATGCAGTATTCCATGAGGTTAGAGACCCAAGGCTTCCATGGCTTTGGATTAAAACGGTGGCCATGTTAGCTTCTGGTGCTACATGCAACGGTGGGATTCAATAAGCCGCCCATCATGAACTTTTGAACTTGTCTTCCCAGAGAGAGAAATACCTATAGAGACAGAACCACTATCAAAGCGAATGTTAATAGATAAAACCTAGGCTCCATTTAGCGGTGGCAGATTTAATAGCTACAATGAGAAGGTCACTTATAATAACGAAGGCCTAGGATATATTTAAAACTACAAAGATAAGTTCAAAAAGACACAGCTGTTCTCGGACTTTTCTCACATACGGGCTCGTAGTGTACATCATGTTTGGTCACTGTTGACCACGTAGTCCCAGCGGATGTAGATGTACAGGATTTCACAGTAATTTGCAGCCTCATAAGCGAAGGGATCGACTGCAATGATATACCTATAATAAGATGCAAGTCTTTCGAGACCCCCATGGTCGCTGTTGAATTTATCTTGCTTGTCATCTATATAGTGAGTGGGTGATGAAGTCGGATTCTGTGCAGCGTCAAAGATGGCGCAAAAAGAGACTAAAAGGTGTCTCAAAACGTGGTCATTCGTGACCCAGCCATCATCGACCAGACGTATATGACTAGAATTGACACCAATCATCCGTTTCGGACTAGTTATGCTGCTACCCATTGAACTTCATAGCCTTTTGCCCAGTAATTTGATGATTTCTTTAACAGCCAACAGACATACCACCGCAGATTTTGCCTCGGTGCATCTTCCAGAGTGACTGGGCATCGAGGATTCCGTAATGCGATTTGGGCACCAGCGATGTCGTAGATGACCACGCAGACCAAAATACCGTCATTCGTAACCCAGTCGTCGCCAGAAGATTGCATATCTCCACGATAGACACCTACCATCCATTCAAGCCAGGCTGTGCATGAATTGTGATTTCAAACCACGTAACGTATGTTAGTTTCAGATGAATACTTGCGGTAAGACCGAAATGCATTGCGCTTGTTGTGAATCATCAAGTCGGCAGTTGTACACCACCAACCACGCAATTCAACGTCAGACAAGCTCTCCACAATCGTGGCACCCTCAGATTGGAAGGCTTGTCATGTACCGCTGCGGGTATTTTATCGCAGGCTTTCCAAGTCCGACAGGCACTTTATCTGCTGACTCTGCAATAGTGTACTCGTTTCTACTCCAAAAGTGAAGGGAGAACCTGTTTGGCCTAGGGCTGAAAAGCCATTCCACGATTGTGCAGACTCCAGGATTGACTGTCTTTTAATTGGCACAATCCATAACACCATTTCCAGAAGCGAGAATGACCGGCTGCAAGCTCATTGGCTACCCCCCAACAAAACTCGAGTTTTTTGAAATTTACATCAGGCTACAGGACAGCGAGTACATTAAAGACGATCTTCCTAAAGATTATCGTTCCATTCAGCCACATCAGCTACATCCTGTGTATTCCTACACCTCCTGCCTCCTCACGACCTTGGTAGCAAAGAACTCTACTGCCTTTCGATTGCGTTGTGTCTCTTGCGGAACTGTTCTAAGATTTCATTATGACACCGCCAAGGTCTCGAAAGCTTCCAGTGAGGCAATTCTCCAGACAATCAATCCAGCAGCCTGTCCAGACTGGTTTAAAGAGGACAAGATCAGGACAGTCGCTGTCTCCTCCCGACGATCAATGTGAAAAGCCTAAACTCTACGAGGCTACAACCCCATCAAGAAGCGAGGGTACTGCAAGTAATGACAACAATGAAGTCACCAGCACCAACGAACAGCCAGAATCTCGGGAGAATAGCCTATCTCACAGTCAATTATCTCTTGCGCAGAAAATCGATCTACAGCAACTTTTGAGAGAGAGATTTAGTTGTTGGAGTAATGGGGTAAATTACACTGCGCCACCAAAGGACAGATTGCCGCCGCGAAAGCGTTTCAGAACATCACAATGGCAGTCGGGTCTTCCAAGAGCCGACGCAGAGAATGACAGCGAGGAGGAATTCGTTGTAATTTCTCACCCAATACGCAGAGAGGGTTTCTTTCATCTCGCTTGTCCATTTTACATCCACGCACGTCACAAACATGAGAAATGTCTTGTCCAACACGATCTATCCTCTATTGAAGCATTGATCAAGCATCTTCTACGGCAACACGATAAGCCTCTGTATTGTCGTACATGCTGGAAGACCTTTGAAACATTGATTGAGCGAGACAGCCACGTCTTGGAGAACGCATGCAAACGAATTGATCAAGAGGCATCTATAGGGCTGACTGAAAGCCAAAAAGTAAGATTGATCAAGAGGGATCGGTATGATTTAGGAGAAGAAAGTCGTTGGCGCCGTCTTTGGTCTACGGTCTTCCCTGGTAGAGAGCAACCTCGATCTCCATACCTTTATCGGGATGAGGGGCTGAAAGTTTCCATGATGAGGGATTTCTGGATTGCCGATGGCCAGAAAGTCGTCTCTGGCTTTCTTGCAGGACTGGCAAGCCATGCCGATCGGAACAGCATAAGGAATGATACGATTTGCCAGCAGGCGTTGCGCGGTCTGATAGACTGGGCAATGACAGAGGATAGCGATTCAGCGATTCAATCTTCGGACAGGTGATCGCGCAATTTCAGGTAGGGAGAGACATGGAGGCTTGGATGATTAGCACTGAACCCGGCATTCTTCGTGATGGGCGTTATATAGTTGATAAAGCCCTTGTTAGCCTCAGTTCTCCATCCACCCGTGTGTTAATCAGATTGTAAGCAGTTTATCGTGAATCTCGCATCACTATAAGTTTGCGGCCTTTCTCGGATCTTTCGTCGTACTGATAGCGCATTGCCAGATACCGCACAGCTTCTGTGAACAGTTGAGTGAGCACTATATTACGTTGAAATTGAAATCTCAAATCTTGAACTACGGTTCACAATCCGTTAAGTAGCAGATGTTAAAGTTTTTGAGCGCTTGGCCAAATGTCCAGAACGCGCGACAGGAAATATGCACAAAGACAAAAGGATTTACCTTGAGAGTTGATTGATATGGAAAGACTATTATATTCGCATGAATGAAGCCAATATACTAGTGATACTGAATCTAGTCAGGCATTCAAGACGTAATATATCAATGATAAGTACAGCCAAGTGACTATGATCAACAGGTAGATTAAGTATATGCGATTCACATGATGGCAACGGATTAAGACCTCGCTTGAAGAAAAAAACAGGAATTCTATATATATCACAAGCAATCTCTTGAGGAAGTGTACTATCTAAGCTGGCATGACGCATGGCTGGCCTCAGGTAGAAATGAGGCCAACTGGTGTTGGTATCGCAGCACGGATTTCCAGACACTGGGGCTTGGTTTAGACCACGAGTGTGCTCAAGATTTGAGCGTGGCGTGTTCCGATATCAGCTTTGTGATGTGTATTGAAGACAGATGCATGGAGGCTGCACAATCATGTATATCTACTTAGTTCGGCCGTGAAATGGCAAGCGTCGGAAAGGTCTCAATGTCTACCTTGTCCAAGTGTCGATGCTCAAGTCCAGAGATGCCATCCTCTCATGTAAAATAACCCCCAAGAGATAAAAGAAAGACTTCGTTTCAACCCTACTCCTTGTGTAGCCTGTGAATCAGCTGTGAGTTGTGATACGAGATTCACGATTGCGATGCGTATTATGGTCATGCTGTCTGGTATCACATCAGACTGTTGTCATTCATATGAAAACTGCGTCGTAAAAACATCAAGAATAGGGCTCTGATTTCTGGGCGAACCATTATTTTCAACCCCATCAGACATCTGATTGATTATCAAAAGTTTCTGTACTACCTCTCCGCCGTTGCGTAGACAGACTCCAGGATGACCCAGATTAGCCAATGCTCATTGGCTTGTCAAAGCAGGCTGCATTCTTACCAGCTTTCGCTTGCATTACTCCCCGCCTGAGGTTCATATTTTATTGGTGTATCATGAAATACACAGATGTGCTGCGGATTCATCTGCCTCACGAGAATTGGGCTCAATAGCTATTATATAAGACTCGCGGAATGTCCATAGAAAAAATAGACATGTACACTGCCTGAGCTTTGTTTAAGCACCAATATGTTCCCTTGCAGTTTTGGTCTCTTGCACATCATCCTTCAGTACCTTGAGTCTCCCTTTCGTCGAAACAAGGTAGAAGCAATGGCCGAACCTGGGTGTTGCCAGCATGACCTCAAGCAATCAATCCGGCAAAGAAACGACACAGGAGAGGCTAGGCGCACTACCCAATGGGATCCCTGCCCTCCCAGCCAACCCAATGCACCTTTGCATCGACATGTGGCACCCTTGTCTCCCAAACATGACATGGAGCCTCATTACTGGTCAACCAGTGATACAGAAGATGATGATGACATGGGAAACTTCTCCTCATCGGAACTTAAACTGATTGAGAACGATGATCTCCAATTCCAGGGACTTGAGGCTAAGAGGCATACAATTGCAATGTTCAGGGACTGCAAAGAGAAGAGGGAGTCCATCGCACCGCTAGAGAATGGACTTCTTCCTCAGACACGCTTCACACCATCGCCTGGACAGCAGATAACGCATGGGGAAATATATGACGAATACGACATCAGTGACGATGATCTCGTCGTGATATCGCGTCCTATGTGTCGCCCCAAAGATAATCTTCATCTTGCCTGCCCTTTCTATCTCTATGATCCTGAGAAGTGTCTCCAATGTCTGCTCACGAGCGACCTACAAAGCATTCCGGATGTGATTGAACATCTATTCCAATCTCATTCTCGGCCATGCTACTGTATAAACTGCTATGAAACCTTCGACACGCAGATCTGTCGCGACGATCATGTTTTGAACGAGAAATGCCCACGGCGTACTCCTGGTCCATTGTTTGGATTAAGTGAGAGCCAGAAATCGATGCTACTCGAGACAGACACGCATCGCACCAGTGAAAAAGCAAAGTGGCTTTTTATTTGGTCTATCGTGTTTCCAGATTCTTGCGAGCCTTGCTCCCCGTATCTGTGCCAGGGAGCCGGATAAGGGATGGCAATGCTTCCTGAGTTTTGGGGCCTGCAGGCTCCAAATGTATCCTGGACTCTTTGAAGTACTAGAGACTGCCACAATACGACCAACGATGTCTTGCAGGCAACTTATACAGGTTGGATTTGGAGGGTCAGCATAGAAGTGTTTGAGGGACAGTATTATTCACGAGTATCATCTGCATGTCTGAAATTTACGCTAGGGTCTTGTAATAGACAAATATATGTTCGTTATATCACCACGAGCCGCATATAGTAATTGAAAATTTCTATTAATACTAGAAACGTATCAATATTCCAATAAAAAACAGCAAATTCACACAATTAACTCAATGTTGAGAAAAAAAAGCGACTTTCCTTCCTGCGCTATCCGAAAGACGTGTGTATGCCTTGAATAGCCTGTACACTTCCTGTGGATAATAACAAAGAAGAAGGAAATGACGGAGAAATAAATCGAAGAAAAATGTTGGACGAACAAATTGAGGACAGAAAGATATAGAAAAGTGACTAGTAGCCGTCACTGAAGCCGCCAGTGTACCCGTTCGAAGGGTGATAGTCGGCGAATTCCATAAACTGCCCATATACAGGACCAGACATCTCTGGAGGTACTTCAGTTTCCGGGTGAGGGTAATCTAAATGCATAGTAGGGTATGGCCATTGCGACGGGTGTGGTTCTCCTGGAACCAGGCATGAGAGACCCATCATCCCATTGCTTGCTTGCTCCAGTGTCTGGTGCTGTAGTTGGCGGTGCACAGGAACGGCAGACGGAAATTCTGAAGATGTCACTTCTGATGGATCGAAAGCTGATCGGAAAAGCTTTGCAATTTCCGCCTTCCGGAGGGCTTCGAGCGCTGAAGTCCGCTTTTCCTGCTGGCTCTTGACGATTTCCTTAATTCCGGCGTCTGCTCCAGACTGAACAGGGTATAGTCCGTTGACAATCACATCGAATGTATATTTACGTAGCTCCAATGGAATAGGCAGATCGTCCAGGGCTTGTCGGATGCGTGTCTCGCCAGCCTCGCGTGCAACGATTGTCTGAACGTACGGTGACGCTGGGACATTTTTAAATCTTGTCGTTGTCAGATGTAGGAAGCACACGCTCCACATTGCGTACCATTTAGCTTCAGGGCTCGCCGTAGCTCTGTCACGCTCACTCAAGAGTGTTTCGAACTCTCTGGGTAGTAACATGCCCGTCTCTTCAATAGTCTTTGGTTGGCAGTTATTGTCAGCCAGGTGGCGTTCGAGATCAGCCTCCGCGCTAGGGCCACGGAACTCCAGACGACATATCGGATCGTAGACCCTGATGTGGTTGGGGTCGGTGCAAGTGCCTTTCTCGTTTCCCTTCTTGATGGCTGCCTCGGCCCCCTGCGCTGTGCACAGCTTGACCTCTTGCAGAAGGTGGCACCGTTCGACGTGCTGGGAGACATCACTTAGGCGGCGAAGGCGAAGGTTGCTGCACTCATGGAATTGCACCGGGTCAGTGGCGCAGAAGAGACATGCGAAGATCAACGGGAGCTGGAATTCGCCAGGGGGGGGATATTGGTAGCCGGACATCTTGTCAGGGGGATATGCTCGGAGGAAAGCCGAGGGTCCTGGAATAATATGCTGTGTCTTTGTGAAACCGAGAATAAGAAGGAGTTTTCGTAGACTCAAACAACGCCAATGCTTTCAACGAGTGACTTAGGATTGAAAGCCCGAGAGAAAAGTATTGAGGAGCCTTTTTAATTCTCAAGGCAGCATTCTGCCTTCCGCAATTGCGCAAGGCTTGGAGGCTCTGTTGTCGATACTCTACACAAATGCAATCCCACAGACCGACCTACACAGCCGCGGAACAGAAACATTGTCATTTACTAAGAGTGCCTTGCTATGTATAAATCGAACAAACTACGCGCAAGCAATTGCAATCTAGGTTCCCCCATTCAAATGGGAGGTTATGATCATGATTCGTCCTCATCGTTCTCGTGAATAAGCTTATAATAATGGCTCCGAGTAACAGGAGAAAGACAATTCATTTCCGGTATAGTGGAGTACCACAATGGATATTGTCTTTGGGCAGCCACACCTCACGGAGGTGCGTCATCTTGTACACATATGCGGAAGTATTACACGCGTGCGGAAGGTCATTTTGTGCCGGCGTATCGAGACATAACCCCATTTGCGAACCAGTTCACCGTAGAGGCCTCCTCTCCAGTGATATATTCCATTCTACGCAAAGGCGGAAGCTTGGGCGGTGGTATACCCCTGCCTGATGATCCTATTCGGTGATGTATTGCACTATTGCTGTTGTACGACACACCCACAGCTCTCATTCGCCGCCACATATTGTGTTTTCCCCAGCTACCAAGCTCTGCACGCCCACATTTTTGGTTCGCCATAGCCATGCTGAGATTCCATTAGCCCAAGAAATCTGCTGGTTGTACTACTCGTCGGCATTCGATGAATTGTTCCAAAGTCGTGAAATGGTGCCAAGGCCTAGCATCCGCCGTTGCGGACGACGACAATCTGGCGAAGAAGCAATATTTATATGATGAATATGACTCATTTATAGACCTGCAGCATGCTTTTGACTATCAGTCTGTCACAAATTCAATTACCTCGATTAAACATGCCATCTTCTATGACAACTTCAACCAGGTTCGTTTGAGATACCCATTACCCCAACCCTGTTCTCTAACCCGCGCTAGAAGTGAACTGAACCAATTAAGTCAAAAAGTAGAATCCAATGGTAGACTTCAATGTTGGCTGTCGGATTCAGGGCTTGACATCCAAGGCAGGCTGTTGACAGGAGAGTCACCATGGCACAGCCCTAGGGCTCAACCCAAAACTGAGAAGAATAATTCAAATCAAGGCCTAGGGTGGCTCTCTTATGGGAGGTATATTTGATGGCTTTTAAAGTGCAATATCCTTTTGTAATTTCAGGGCATTCTATCATAAGCGATTAGAGAATCTTGATAATCTTGAAGACACGTCAATCTTTCAATAGACTGCATGGTAACAAAGCAATAGTCGTCAAAATTCTAGAGGCTGTAGGATTCAGAGCGGTCTTACTCATCTTTATCGGCTGTCTGCTATTCTGCACCCTCTCCCCCCTGTATTCGTAGTGGCTCGCATATGTCTTGGGGCCCGACCTTCGGTTGCCTCGTTGCCTGTAATTCTTCATCCTCGAGCCTACGTAAACTCTTTCAGCCGCATGCCTCCTGTATTTTTAATATTGAATGCCTTACCTATCTCCCAAGCCGTCTATCACAACTTGAACAAATCCAAGGCATCGTCTCCTATCCGACACAACGTCTTTACTACGTACAGCGCGAATGCGTGACCAATTGGAATTGCAGAATGAAAATTGGTCCAAAGCCCTACGTTTCCGAGCCGGAGAGAACCTCGGGGCTTTCCAATGACTCTTCTCGCACTGGTCGTGCTATTACTTACACGGCAGAGGACGGGAATAGAGTTCCAAGACACTTTATTCTGGACGACCAACAAGCAAATCGGCAGTCCAAACAGCCTCGTGGCTCATCGAATTCACGCGCTACGTCCCCAAATCAACATGAACACTTTGATTATATCCAGGGCCAATCCTCTACGCTTTATCGTATGATTCATTGCCGTTATCCCCGAGAGTCAAGGAAGCTAACAATTTACTGCATATCTCAATGACTCCTCAAGTCCAGATACGGCAAAACTATGCGACGACCATCAACTGCCCTCTGGGTCATCGTCAGATACGGAATCACGGCAAAAGACATTGGACGCCACACCCCCATCAAAGACAGAAAGTCTGGGAGAATCAAAGCTTTCCCCAACAAACGAATACGAGTTGGGGGTGCTAGGGGGTGCAAAACCGAAACGAATCTTGCTCCCAAAGAGTGCGTGTTGGAAACAATCTCCTGGGGCGCAATCGCAGAAAGAAAGAAATCGTTTGGGCAGCAAAGCAACGCCAATGTCATCCAAGAGGCATGCTGCGGAAGATAAGGACCCGCAAAAAAAGAGTCGTACTGCTATATCAACCAATACTGATAAAAGAACCGAGGCCTTTGCTTGTCCTTACTACAGAAAATACCCAGAACGTTACCTTGATTGTATCAACCTTAGGTTGATTCGAATATCAGATGTCAAGCAACACCTAAAGAGGCGGCACACGTGGAGTTATTCCTGTTCTAGATGCTGTAGGGGGTTTTCCTTACAAAGGGCATATGAGGAGCATGTCTTGCAGCAGGACTGTCCAATGAAGGACTGTACAAACTATGGCAGCGTTTCTCCGCGCGCACAAGAAGTACTCAAGTACCGTGTTGATAGACGTTCGTCTCCCGAACTTCAATGGCATGAAATATGCAGGATCTTATTTGGAAAGCTCGGCGACGCACTGAACCCACACCATGACGGCATTTTCAAAGAGATCACAGGAATAATACGTGTTATATGGAGAGAGGAAGAACAGAACATCATCTCCAGTTTGAGGGGTACACTAAATGTTCCGTGCGCAGATGAGTTGCGCCCATTGCTGTCTGGGATTCTCAGCAGAGTTGAGAGCTATTTCGCACAGAGGGAGCAGACAGCCGCAGAGGAAAGTCTGAAGGAACCAGTCGAAAAGACTCAAGTTACTGGAAAGGTGATTCTGCAGGCCGAAACCTCGGGACATGCCTGCGAGTCTCCGAAGGAGGGCAGCAGTGAGATGCTCAGTACTGGGCAGGTCAAAGTCTCAGAGTATGTCGGTCTACCAACACAAGAATGGCAATTTTCAAGTGGCATCGAGACTTCGAGCATGTCAAATTACAGCTTCACCTGTCTCGCGCCGGCTCAAAATCCAAACCAGTTTGAGTACTCTTATTCTGAACACCCAGCAGGTCTGCTCAACTTGAATCTCGGGATGGATTGGCATTTAGGGGACCCCAGCAACGACATCTCAATGGAAGATTTCATATCCCTTAATAGCTCTACGGAGGGCTTTTTCTTTACAGAGGGCTACCTATCTTCAGTATAAACTCTATACGAATTCTACTAGAAGATTGACACGTCGCTCAAATACCTTTAATAAATCGATAGGATCTTGAGACTACATCAAAAGGTGTAATATAAGGGGACAGAGTAGCTGGAGCAAAGGCGAAATAACTGGGCATGACAGCGACATCAATATTTCATTTACGGAATATCATAAATAAAGCTTGGTGAAATTGGAAATCCAGGGAATCGAAATCAATCACCCTTGACCTATCCACTAAGGAAGAACATGGTTGATAATAGTTATGTTATATAGTACGTCTCTGCTGCGATGGTATATCTGATCAACATGCTCCCCAATCCACCCGGGCTCATATTTGGCCCAAAACTAAAGCCATACTCCTTCATCAAGACAAATGAAACACTTTCTCCTTGGTTATGGTTGTTTTACTTTCAATACGCCGTCCACCATAACCCAATTTCTTCCATCCGCTCCGAAGGCGTTATCTCCGCCTTGGGCTTTGTACTCCTTGTGCTCTGGAACATGGAGCTATTTTTTATCGATGAATGTGTGTACATGTGATACTCCCGGCTGGGAGCGTAGTAATATGTGTAGTAATAAGCCGCTGAAACGGTGTTAGTATCTGTCAATTGAAGTTGAAGTTGGGTTGGAGACGTACCAGCTGTAGCGACAATGGCGGCAGTGGGGAACGCACGAGCCGCTTGGGCTGTCAATTTGGGGGCAGCGGGCTGGCGGGGGAAGTCGAAGCGGGGAAGCGCTGAGCCGAATGAATTGGTTGTCATGATTGCTGTGTTTATCCAACTCTAATAAATCCTCAGTCGTAATTTGAGTGGTTACTTGGGTAGTGTTCAATTGGTTTGGTAGTCAATTAGCGATGAATGATATTTACAAGCTGCAGCCTGATTCCCTTTTATCCTCAATTGACCCGGCTGATTCCGATAGTTTGGTCTTGTGCACTGAGATCATGGGCGTTCACGAGAATAAACTCGAATGGTGCGGCTACGAAGCTATGGCCTGATTGCAAAAAGCTGCTGATTTCCATGCGCTGGGGACGGGGAAACCCCAGAACTTCAAATTCACATGATCCAAAGATCATCTCACATTTTGGCCGAGTGTCGTCATTCTGCCCTGAGCGAGCGAGCCCCTGGTTAGTGGCATGATGGTGGATTCACCATGTTCGGAATGCTCCTATGATCTGATTGGCGCGCAGGCTTGTTTGGCATTTGTTGTAGAGCCTCATTCGAAGTTTCTTGTTCTGGCGCCTTTTGTCAATAATGTTCGCGTCAATCGCCTGCCGGGTCGTCTTCTATGTGCCTCCATCGTTTTGATGGTAACAGGTCGGTACATTATATAAATTGATGTGAACAGCGCTCTCTAAATCCCATCATCCGGAGGTCTAACTAACTGTCTTCTATTGTTTTGACTGCCATCTAACGCAATGCTGCCGCAAGGTACCTTAACAATGCTGTCGTTAGAGCGAACCAATATTCATAACCTATCACCTATCACCTATTTCCCATAACTCCTCTGACGCTTCGATTATCCATCATATCTCATTATTAAACCCCCAAGACCTCAATTATGTTCGCAACGCCGATGCCTTTCTTTTTTTTGTACTTGTTCAAGTGCCCCACTTCTCACTCCTGATAAAAACGCGGATAACCAAGAAAAGGCGGAAATATGTTCAAACGAAGAATAATACATGATGTCGTTAAAATCTCAGAGCCTCGATCATTGAGGGCCGTGGAAGTTGTTATGGTGTCGGTTGGGACAATCGCGAGCCACATGACTAGCATTGCCACAGACGCGACAGGTGATGAACCAGTTATCATTGGGAAACGGCATGGACCACTGCGTCGAGTCCGACACTGGCCTGATCATCTGCAAATTAGGCGGTGCGGGGTTCGGGATGTGGCTTGTAGCGTGGCTCACATCCCCAAACTCATTCGCCGTACCCCAGGAATTATTGAACATGTCGGCAAATGGATCATTGCTCAAATAATCCTGAGGGTTTTGCGCAAAATTCGCTCCTTGCGGATCGAATTGTCCCGGAGGAGCAGGGTGGTAAGGTCCATTGACAGCTCCGGGAAGCGGGTCATGTTGGATATCGTTATGTGGCTGTGCATCAACAGCAATTGTAGCCATAGGTTCTGCCTCATTATGCTGGGTTGTTGTCGTTTCTTCCGGGTACAATGTTGTCCATATCTTCTTCCATTTCTGATCGTCGCCAGACGCCGCAGTGACGTTTTCTTTGAGCTTTCTGAACTCTGCCGGTATCAAGACGCCTGTCTGTGCAATGCTTTTTGGCTCACATCCTGTGTGGCGTTCATTCCTGACATCTGCCTTACGGCCATGGAACTCGTTCCGGCATCTCGGACAGTAGAAAACGATTTTAGCGGGGTCTGTGGTCCTTTCCGCTTGGGTGGTATTATCATCCGTTGAATGAGCGGTCTCCTGTACATCCATCCTCACTTCTTTCAATAGGTGGCGTCGGCCGATATGCTGAATAACATAGCTAATGGATGTTATGTGGTGCCCTTTGCATTTACAGTACCGAGCTGCATGATATTTGTGGAATGGGCATGGAAATGTTTTGTCGGGGGAATTTGTGGGTAGAGGAAATCGTGGTCCATCCCGGCTAGAATCACCTTCATCGTCCTCGTCCTCATCACTATCTGTGTCGCTCGGGGCGTCGCCGCCGCCGCCGCCCTCGCAGCCATCACTATTTGCGCCATTCTGGGCTTTGTCGGCGGGTTGTTTGTTCTCCTTGCGTGGCTTCTTGCTGTTGCTGCCAGACTTCCCAGGGCTCCCTGGTGGCCTTTTGTGACTAGAGGAGCCCCCAGCAGTAGCCCTGTAATGATCCCCTGTACAGAAGTCTAGCTTCTGAGGGGCAAGACCTAACGTCGGGAACGGGCCGATGCGTGAGGTTGGACGAAAATCCCTCAGATGGCCACTGTGCGCATGAAGAACTAATCATCTGTGTGTCAATGATAGGTTCAACACAGTTAACGTAGTTTTGAAAAGCTATTTACCATTTTGCTGGCACTGCAGCCTCGCGCGGGCCAAGATGTCAGGTACAGGGTAGCCTGACTTGAAAAGTAGGCTCAGGGCTTTGTAGGGCATTCGCTGGCCAATTGACTTGGGATCATCAATCCCATTGTTTGATGGTGCATCCCCTGCTTGTTTTGTTTTCGCAGCCACTTTGGTGTCGAATCTGTCTCGTTTGCGTCTCCAGAAATGCGAGAGGCGTTTGGTGAAACGTTTGTGTAAGCCTGGGGTGGAAGACTCGTCGCCCTCACAGTTGGACAGCCTCCAACGGTGTCGTACTGAAAGTTCCGAAAACATCGTGTTGCTACCAGCGAGATCTTGGGTACTTCTGTCTCAGGGCGCCAATGTCATTCATCCCTTTTAAACACTGTGAAACTGGAGATTGCAATTGAAGCTTATTGAATGTTTGAGATTAAACAAAGGTTAATTGTGTTTCATTGTATGGGTTGGTGGTTGTATTATTAGTATGTATAACGCGAACTGTTTGCCTCATCCACCGTTGCGGAGGGCGTTTTTACTTCCACGAACTTAGCCTTGACAGGCAGACAAAAGCAGAGCCGCATCACAATTGTGCGCGTGGTGTACGAAAACCCATCAGCATCCTTTACTCAGCTAAATCCTTAAATGAACATACATAGGCACCCCAACCTGTTTCATCGCACTGAATTGGGCTCCAGAAGGGTTTAAATTGAATAGCGACAAGATGCGGTGAGCAATAGAGTTCGATAGATCGGATAAAAAGTTACCAAGAATAGCGCTATGCCATAGTAATCGGGCGGTTTGGTTCCACGATCGTGGAAGCTAGGGCGCCTAGCTCGAAGATTACAGGGATCTCTTCCACAGATGTGGAAGCCGTTGACAGCGAATATTGCTTGAGAGGCCTCACTTCTCCACGGATGTGGATGTTGCGGGGGAATTTTGGCGCTTGTGATGCAAGGTGATTCAATCCTGCACAATCGTGGAGGCTTATGTGCATGTATCACCCAGGGAATTAGAGACGGTGATTGGTCGTAGCTTTGAGGCGCATGCATTAGACAACATCCTTGGTTCGCCGAGTTCGCCGTGGCGTTTTTCTTGTGAATTGTCTGTCAACGCAGGTACAGATTCGTCACGAGTTCAAAGACTCGAGAGTCGTAGTTTGTTAGCATGACGTTCAAGCAATCGAGGGTTCACGATGGTGGACAGTTCACATAACCCATCACCATTGTGAAGATGAAGAGCACATTCGTGGAAATAAAGCGTTCACTATACTATATAGTTCGAATACATGCTCTGACAGTTGAAACTCGATGTTCGTCAAATAGACTTCTTCATCATGCCAGCCTACACACAGTCGTCAACAAGGTTAACAAACTTGCCCACTTGCTACTAGAAAACTGAGTAACTGATGTACCCGCAGAGGATCGAGTCAATTAGGCTCGCACAGTGAACGTAATGGTCGTATCAAAGATTGGCTGTTGGACTCGGGCCTTGACATTCAGCGACGGCTGCTTACAGGGGGCGGCAGCCAACGGGGGCCGCTATCGCCAGCACCTGGAAAAAAACACTTGGCTGAATCAGCAGACCTCAAAGCAAGATTGTGAGGCTTGATAAAGTGGGATGTCTTGAATTAGGTAGTGTGGGCATCTGTGCATATGCACAAAAGGACCGTGATAGCGTAGGGATATAGCGGTACGAAGTTAAAATGAAACATGCCAAATTTGAGCGCTAATTGTGCAGTGTCTGTCTGTTGTACCTCGATGTACGGATACCGGGCGCAGTGATTACAAGGTGTCCCATCTGACGTATGCCTAAGCTGATGGACCCCCCCACTGTAGTTCAAATGGTATAGTTGGCTCATCGCTCCCTGTTGCCCTGCGATGTTTTTCGTTTTCTACCATCCCATCTTCGTTGGGGAAGATTTCGCTATTTTCTCCGTCTCCGTTTATCGAACCAATTTGGAATCAACTTCGGCTGTATTTCTTCAAAGCTTGTGACTACAAGAAACATATGGACTTGTATAATCTGCACAAAATTCATCGTTGAACGCCGTTCGATCTAGCTGGCCAAGGAGCAAAGTGAATATAAGATAAAGAATATGTTAGTTCGAAGCGATACCGATCGTCAGGAGTGCAGTGCACATAGCTCGCAAGGAAATGAACGCATCAATGTAGATGAGAGCATTGTCTGTAACGAGGAGTGCGTAGATCTCGGTGAGGGTCCTTCAAAGGATACGGGGAAGAGCAGACCGATAAATGTAAGGCTCTCAAATCGAAATGCTGGCAAGCAAGACCATTCGAGTCTTAGCATACGGCCACTCAAGCCTCGGCAGAACAATGATACGAGGCTAAGACCTCTGGCTCCAAGTAAGCGAAGCTCAAAGTCGTGAGAGAATCACATCAAGCTGACATTGACAAGGCAAAGTGAATCACACGGATATCCTAAATGAACAAGTAGACAATCACTTGAGCCAGGAAATCAACCGTACATGTTTTGGCCCGGAAAACTCTCGTCGAGCATCGTTGCCAGATAGCCTGTCCTTCTCAGCGAACATGGGCCATCCAATATCAGACATTTCACCAGAGCACAACAGAAACGCAAGCACTATTTCTGCACTTCCGATAAGCCCTCAGCTGTACGCTGGGATGGGTGGCTCAATCCAGCACATGAAGGCGGAAATGAAACTAGAGCCTCCAGTTTTAGGGCTCCAGACAAATCAAGATCCGATCAACTTGATGAAAAGACCGGCCGAAGGCAGCAGTGCACCTCAAAAGAAAAGCCGAAAAACCAAAAGCCACAACGATGTTGAGGAATCAGACCGCGATCGCGATTATTACTCTGGAAGCGGTGAGGTTGAGAAAAAGAAAGAAGAGACATTCGCGTGCCCGTTTTACAGAAAGGATCCAGTTCGCTTTCTTGAGTGCATAAGTCTCAGAATGGTCACTATATCGATCGTCAAGCAACACCTAAAGAGACGGCACGCAGCAAACTTACTTTGCTCTGTCTGCAAACAGGGATTTCCCTCTCAAAAGTTGTTTGAGGATCATTTGCAGAAAGGAACCTGTTCTCGCAGTGTAATAGATGGCTCTGATACTATACCTCCTCACATTTTGGAGGCTCTCAAGCTTCGTTCCGATAGACGCATATCGTCAGCGGCTCAGTGGGAGGATATTTATGTGCTTATTTTTGGGACACTGGATACTAAACCTAAGCCGTTTCTGGATGGTATTGCTAAAGAGATGACGGGAATAATTCGCGATATCTGGAGGCACGACGGCAGCCGAATTGTGTCGAAGTCTGTTCAAGAACGAGGCTTGCCAGCTACCCCAGGACAGCTGCTTGATTTACTACCGGAGCTTCTCGATAAGGTTGAGGATCGATTCGAAAACAAGCCGCTGAAGCAAGAATCGGATGAGCCGCTTCCTAATATCAAAGGGGCTATGACGGAAAACAACATAAGAGTAAGAGACGACTCTTACCAGGGATCTACGACTCTAGACCATTGCCCCGACCCCGGGTTTTATGCGTCAGACCTTGATTCCATCTCAAACTCGGCTTTCCTGCCCAGCGACTTTCTCAAGTCAATGTCCGTCACTAGTTACAATTGCGATCCCCGGTCAGTTGAGGAAGCGTTCGAACTAGAGGAGACTGACTCTGAGTGCGTCACTACTAGCTTTGCAGCGCATACAGAGGGATTAGTTTGTATGACAGCATTTGACCCTGCTGATCATCCCTATGATATCTTCCAGCAAGGTCCTTTATCACAGACTGCTGGGACAGAAATCTATCAAGATTGGCCTGGGTTATCATATGACTACTCTTTGGACTTCTTAGAGGAGTAAAGATCCTGGGTCGTGTCATTGTGGATATAGAGAAGTTGTGTTCATCGATATTTTGGCATCTGGCTAGGTAGGATTGGGGTAGCAAACGGGTTGGTGTATCCTCGAGATGTACTATCTCTCTTAGGTTACCATAGAAGACAGGGGATAAAAGGTGCTGGTCCATATTTCAGCTTGAAAGTGGCCTGACCTCCTTTGATCAACTGTAAAGGTTTAAGCGAAAGTTGACATGAGATCTCGACTCGCTTGAATATAAGTTACCAACAATATCTAGCTATTTTACCACTGTTGAAAGTTTACATTCACTGACGCCGCATAAAGGTTATGATCAGGGTTTCAATAAGTCAGAAACCAATTTCGGAGGAAACAAGTTTTCACAATCTTATGTAGTGCTTTGGGCTTGATTTGAAAATGCGGTACGAGATTTCTGTTCATTGTAAGATGTTAAAAGTCCACAGTGTATATGTATTTTACGGCTCAATTTGAGCTAGAATAATTCAAATATCAAGATTAGCAATAGCTCTTATGCTTTGCATTGAATTAAATTGTCTTATACTCTAAAACATTTCCGTTCCCTTCCGTTACAGCTCTCACCCTCCTGTCTCTTTCTTCTCGATAATGATCCCTCGGCTGCTTAGAGAACGCAGACATGTAGCGCATCAAGTCCCTAGCATCTCTCGTATCTGGCTCATACACTTCTCTGTTCTCAAAACCAACATCATCCAAAGTCACCTCCTTGAGGGCTTTAGCGAACCAGGGTTTCATTTCTTTCGATACTAAATGATCATAAGGAGCCACGTCGTGGATATCATGCGGAAGCTCCATCCATTCAGCTAGTTCCCCCTCTTCTTCGTTCGACAGCCGCTGATGCAAAAACTCTTGGAATGCATCCGAACGAGGTTGGCTCATTATCTCCGCGTATATCTCTGGGGTGATGTCTGGTTCAAGTCGCGCGAATTCAGATGGGCTGTCGCATACCACTAATGCCTGAGCTACGAGCTGCTTCAGCTCAGGGATCAAACGCAGAAGCTCGAGATACGTTGTGCGATTAGCTATTTGCGGATACCATATAATGCGTGGCACGTCCTCTTTGGTGAAATGCCTGTCGTTATTGAGCCACGTCAGATCGTCGTTCATAATGAACCGCGCACGAACAAATTTGCGGAGCACCGCTAGCTCTGGTTGTTCATAGCACCACTTGGCGAAAAAGGTATTGTGGTAGATACCGCGCACCATGCACTGCATTTCACCATTGATGGGGCGAGGTCTTCTTAGTCGAACGTAACGGTCAATGTTTCCTGTGAAAGCGGCCATGAGAATGAGGATGTCTTTGTCAACCGTTGATAGGTGTCGTGGCAAAGGAGCATAGAGTAGAGCAAGCGTCTCGCTTGGAATGACCCTCTCTTCCAGCCGTTTCCCGTCGGCGGCCATGCACCAATCTTCGGTGATATCGAATGGTGGGGGGAAGATTTCGTGGTGTACTGGCTGCCTCTTGTCCAATGTTGACCGAACGCAGGTATTGCCGTTCAGAAAGGCTCCGGCTTCAGGCTCGTTAAACAGGCAAAGATTATAATCGTCCATTCTTTATATTCAAAACCTTTATAGCTTAATAAAGCTTTATTTATTAAAAACCTAGCCCTAAATATAACTAAATCTCTAATAAGCTTTTCTACTTAATACTACTAGCCTATTTAACTTTTCCTTTTTATAACTTTTTAATTAATATAGTTATTTTACTTAATAACTTATCTTTATATTAGGTTTTTATAATTTACCTTTTTTATAGATATAGTATATAGTATACCTAGGCTAAGTATACCTTTATAATCTTAATTACCTTATTAATATTATTTAG